CTGTCTTGACAGCAGTGAGAGATGTGCTGGACAGGGATCTTGGGGGACAGCCTCAGTCCAGGGCCTGGGGGTGCTCCTTGCTGAGGGAGTGGGGGTGCGAGTGCTAAGCTACGAGAGGCATGGGAGATGCCAAATGCAAACTCCCCAACTTCACCTCTGATGTGTGCTCACAAGCCTGGCCTTGTGTCCTGTCCTTTTCCGCCCGAGTGTGGAAAGATCAACAGACATGAGTTCAGGGCTGGTCTGGGCCAAGGCTGGGAGGTGGGGAGCAGACAGGACGTGGTCCCTCAGCCGGTCTCCTAAGGAGCACTGGCCCACGGGTCTCAGCCCCTGGCCCTCTGGCTTGCAGTCTCCTTTTCCTGAAGGCCCTGGGCTTGGTCATCTCTACCGTCCTGTTCAGCTCAGAGGGCCTTGTCTCCCTGAGCGGATGCCCTGGCGGCCAACAGATTAATTTTCCAGCTGGACTTCTCAGCCTCAGCCTGGCCGGGCAGGGTTAGGGCAGGATCTGGCCTGGCTTTCCCTCTTCACAAGAGCCCCCAGAGAGGCCCAGAGTCAGTGCCGTAGCACAGGACCAAGTCTTAGACTAGACAATATTCCGTGTCCTGTGTGTGATGGGAGCCACGGAACCTGGGCCCACGAGGGCCCCTCAGCCATCTGCGCGACACTATGGACTACCTGTACTCTGTGCCTAGATAGATGGGCACCTCTGGACACAGGCAGGAGTGTGCCTGTGTGGATGCTGCCTGGGAGCTGCTCCAGGGCGGAGAGTCTCAGCATCCTGGGAGCCCCCGGATCCCGCGGCCAGGGCTGGCTCAGAGTTGGCCCCATGCAGCGAACGTTCGTTGAATTGCCTGGCAGGAGAGAGAAAGCATATGGAAGGTGCCCAGTCCTTCTGGTTGTCCACAGGAGAAGCCAGCGTGTACACACAAACATTGCATTGCAATTCAACAACATTTATTGAGGGCCCATTATGAACCAACAGGGCTCAAGCCCTGAGAATCTAGACATGAATAAAACCAGATCCCTGTCTCCCTGAGCCCCCCAGCCTAGGGCAGAGGCAGGCACATGAGCCAACCAGGACCTCCAGTGTCCTCAGATGGTGGTAGCTGTGTATGCACCCATTCCCATGAGGGCAGGACTGGGGAGGGAACACAGCAAGGGCCGGGGGGCGGGAGATGAGGAAGGAGTCACAAATTTCTACCCAAATCCACCCAGGCAGGTAAACGGATACCCCCAGACACACACATAAGCACACACGCATGCACGCACGTGCACACACACACACTCTTAGGTGTACCCACTGACCACCTAAGCATATGTAGACACAAATACCCTGTAGACTCAAGCGCCTCGCAGGCCTTCGTGATTAAAGCCTGTTAGTGGTCCCCCAGTCTGGGGAGGTGTGCACGAGAGGATGGCCTGTGTGTTGGGAGCTGGTACCTGGGGCAGCATGGGAATCACTCCACCTTGGCCAGGGGATGGCCGGAGGTGGGCAGAGCTGTTAGTCTAAATCCTGACAGGTTAGGGGCGCCTGAATGGCTCAGTCGGTTAAGCGTCTGCCTTCGGCTCAGGTCATGATCCCAGGGTCCTGGGATCAAGTCCCGCATCGGGCTCCCTGCTCAGCGGAGAGCCTGCTTCTCCCTCTCCCTCTGCCTGCCAGTCTGCCTATCTGTGCTCTCTCTCTCTCTCTCTCTCTGTCAAATAAATAAATAAAATCTTTAAAAATAAATAAATAAATAAATCTGACAGGTTAGGCTGATTATTGGCTTGCTGTGAATGTCAATCACCAGAGACAGCCAATCACCTATAGACCAGGCCTGACACTCAGCTCAGTGGCCAGAAGTAGGGAATCGGACATAGAGTTTACCTGTTAGTACTTGTGCTCCTTGAGGAGTGTGAACCAGGCGGGAGTCAGGACAGCGGGGTGGAAGAAGGGGGTTGCTGGGAGTTAGCTTTTACACGCTCACATCCCTTCACTTTAGAAACAGCTCAATTCCCTATTTGGATTTTTTGCTATTGGGAGCTAACAAATGGAAAGTGTTTGGAGGAGCTCCTGGCACACAGTAGCCCCTCAGTAGGCGGTCATTCTGTCCCCCAAGACCATGCCTCTGGTGTGTGCCTGTTTCAGCTCTGAGGAGGAGAGCCAGGGCTCCAGCCTGTAGCGGGTAGCAAAAGGTGAACCTGGGGGCACGAAGCTAGGATTCCTGCCCCCTTGTGAGCACCAGCCCTCCTCCACCGCACAGGGCCCAGCATGATTCATTGAGTGAGAGATAGATCCCTCCTCCAGAGCTGCCTTCTGCCAAAACCTTGCAGAGTTTTGTGTATTCCTTCCATAAGCGATATTTCTTTGCAATAATAACAGCTTTTGCAGCGCTTTCTACCTGCCAGGCACGGTTCTCTCTACTCGAGATATAACTTAACGATCATACGAGGTAGGGACGTTATTTTTCACATTTTACAGATGCAGGAACTGAGTCCCAGAGTAGTTAAGTGTGCAAGGTCATGCAGTGAGTAAGTGGCGGAAGCAGGATGGCACCAGAGTCCATTCTCTAACCACAGGGCTCTGCCACCTCTCCGGAAGGAAGATCTGATACTTTCTCCTCCTTCCCTGCCTTCTCCTTTCTCCTCACGAATACCCCATGGGGCCCTGGATAAGTCACTGAGTCTCTATTTCCTTCTCTGGGAAGGAGAAAGTCCTCTCAGCCTGGCGACCTCAAGCTGTCGATACTCCTGCATGGGTTTCGCTGGGAGGAAATGGTGCCCTGGTGTAACATTCTGGGGGCCAGATATTCCAAGCTGGGCACTCTGCATCTTGCCCCCTGGAGTAGGGCCAGGGTGGAGAGTCCTCTCTGAGCCCCATCAGCAGACTCGCAGCTGGGCTCACAGGCCCCTGGAGGCCCCCTGGGAGGACCGGGGCTGGAGACACTAATGAGGAGATCAGGAGAGAAACCCCTCTCCCTGGAAGTAAATTCATGCAGAGAAACTTATAAGCTGTGCATGCAATTTGCAAGCGGGCCAAGGCCCTCAGAGCTTAAATATATTCCTAGGGGCTATTTATAGTCTTGGGAAAATTAAGAGTTTTCTGGGTAATGGGAGTGCTGCAGACTCCAGCTGGTCAGGGCCTGCCAGGGACCGGCGGAGAATAGAGTGGGAACCATGGAGCCTTCTGGTGAAGGACTCCAACTTCTAGTGACCACTTGCCCAGAGCAGACAGCCCCAAAGTGGGCCCCTGAGGTGGGGAAGGAAGAGAGCCCAAACCCCCTTACCTGGCATTTAAGGCTCCCAACTCCCCTTTAAATATCCCCCCTCACCTTTCCCTACACAAACCCCTCCCCCAGCCACCCTTAGAACATTCTCAGCTCTCACACTCCTCTGCACTCTTGTCACACTCTTCCCACCTGGACTGCCGTTACCTCACTCTTCTCTGGTGAGTTGACATGCTCCCACCCCTCAAGGCCCCTGATGTCCCCATTCCTGGTCCCCGCTGCCCTGTCCCTTGCCCCCACTCTGAACCCTTCACTGGAACGAATCGCCTACCCCCGGAGACCTGGTGTAGTGGACGCCGTAGTGTGCCCCTCAGATTCACCCTTTGGGCCTGAGACACCCCTCCTTCCCTGGCTTCAGGAAACAGGGGCTCCTGGCTGCATCCCTCTCAGTCAGAGGGGGCCAATTCATCTGAAACCATGCCTCCTTCCCCAGGGCAGTAGATAGCCAGTGCTTGTCAGGGAGGGGCGTGGGGTAGAAAGGTCCTCCCTCCCTTTCCGCTGGCTGGACGATTCCAAGGGCCACTGCAGCTTCAGAGCTTCCTGGCAGATCAGCAGAAGCCACCTTGGTGCAGGATCCCCCTCTGTCCCGTCCTGCCTCCCTTGCCCCCATGGGGGCCATTCTCAAGAGCTCGCTATTCTCCATCTTGGACAATGCTTTCTGGGCAAGCCAGTTTATGACAGCTGGTAACAGAATGGCTAAGCAACCAGCCTGGGTGCCAGTAGAGATCAACCGTTCTTAGCGCCCTGACCTGGGCCGAGTTACCTAAGTTCTCCATACGATTGCTTTATCCATAAGATGGGAATAATGCTGAGGCAACAGTCTCTGGCGAGTCTTGTGAGGATTAAACGTGATGATGTACGAAAGCGCCTGATACTGAGAAAGCGCTCAGTAGACATTAACTATGACTGTCTACATTTAACTTCTCTGAGGTTCAGGTACATGGGGATAGAGTCTTATTATCTGTGTCATGGGGTCGTTGGTGAGAGTCAAATAATATTGAGAGGCAAAGGGTTGCATTCTGTGCTGCCGGGACCTAATACAGACTCGGGGGTCCAGTTCCACGGGGGCTTTGCCCACCTGGAGCTGTAGTCGGGAAGCCTGACCCTTCCCCCGACTGGTGGCAATCGCTGTATTAGTTTCTTATCACTGCTGTGACAAACTACCATGCATTTAGTAGCTTAAGGCAACACAGATTTATTATCTTACAGTTCTGTAGGTCAGGTTTGGGTCTCATCGGACTAAAGTCAAGGTCTGCAGGCTGTGGTCCTTTCTGGAGGTTCCAGGGGAGAATCCACTTCCTGCTCATTCCGGAAGTTGGCAGAATCCAGTTCCCAGGGTTGTAGGACCAAGGTCCCCATGTTCTTGCTGGCTCTAAAATGAGGGTGGTTCCTATCTTTCACAGGCCGCTACCTCCCTTGGCTGTGTTCCCCCTTCCTCCATCTTCAAGGTCAACACAGGCTGGTGGAGGACCGGCTTTAGTCATCTTTCACTTTTAAGGACTCATGTGATTAAATTGGGTCCACCTGCATAATCTAGAATACTCTCCCCATCTCAGGGTCCTTAACCACATCTGCAGAGTCCCCTTTGCCATGTAAGGTGCCATATTCGCAGGTTCCAGGGATTAGAACATGGATATCTTTTGTGGGGGCTGGAGGGGAGGGCATTATTCTGCCTCCCCTAGCCCCCCAGCGTGGGACAGCGTCTGATCGAAAATTCACCTCCTCCTCTTCCAGGGAGAGGTCTGTGCAGTTCCATGTGCCACAGGAACCTATGGCCCCAACTGCTCGTCTCTCTGTGGCTGTAACAACGGTGGTACCTGCTCCCCCGTGGATGGCTCCTGCACCTGCAAGGAAGGTGATGTGCCTTCTTGCCCAATCCCATCCCCCTCAGATGTGCGCACTGCCCAGGTGGGCTGCCGGCTAGGGAGTCTGGGCTGTCCCTGCCTTATCCACCTACACGCAGGGTCAGGGAGCTTAGAGATCAGGTCCCAGCCAAGGAAACCCAGGCCAGGGACTTCAGTAGGAGGAATGTAATAGAGGGGATTAGTTACAATCGCGTTCTAATCGCTGGGGGAGCACACGAAGGGAAGTACACAAACCAGAGATCACAAGTGGGGGGGAGAAGCTGCTACCACTCCTAGGGTGGGAGGGACAGATGGAGGAAGTGGTGTTCCAGAGCTTGGGAGTGAGGGCCACCTGGTGAGAGCTGGGACGTGGATAGAGGGGCTGCGTGACAGCAGTGGAACATGGGGAGACCCAGCCCACACCACCATCAGAGGCCTTGCCAAGGCCAACAAAGGCGTCTCTCCTGCTCCCCACCTCCGGTCTGTGGGCCAGGTCTCCCATGGTGAAGCCCACCTGGGAGCCAGCTGAGGGGGAAGCCGGGGATATGCAGCTGCAGGGACCAGCCTCCTGTGACACAGATCAGAGCCAGGGAAGGGGAGAAATGGATCTGAGAGCAAACAGGCTGATGACCAGCCTCAGAACGGGGAAACCAGCCTGTCCTAAGAACAAAGGGCCCTAAAATAAGCCTCCTGATCCCACTCCAGGCAGAGATAGACCTCCCCATCTCAGCTGGTGCCCTGTCCCAGGTGGGATCATGCACCTGCAGCAAGAGCAGTGAGAACCAGGAAGCAGGAGCCCCTCGGGCTGGCCCTAGGTCTCCTGACAGCCCTGCTGTGTTTTGGAGCTGACTCCATGTGGAATGTGTGCTCTAACCCGGTGATCAGAGAAACGGTGGTTTAGGGGGCAGGTACAGAGCTGGGGGAGTAGGCAGAAAGCCAGCTGTGCGGGGCCCCGACGGAGAGGTGACAGACCCTTCCCCCCCCCCCCAGGGTGGCAAGGCCTGGACTGCACCCTGCCGTGTCCCAGCGGGACGTGGGGCCTGAACTGTAACGAGAGCTGCGCCTGCGCCAACGGGGCAGCCTGCAGCCCCGCAGATGGCTCCTGCGCGTGCACTGCCGGCTGGCTCGGAGACACCTGCGAACTGCCCTGCCCAGTGAGTGCCCAACAGCCCTCTCCCCCTCTCCCGCAGAGGTGTGCAGAGAAGAGCACTGGCCTCGGTAGTGGGACCCTTGGATTCCGGTCTTGCATCTATAAAATGGCAAATATCTGGCAGGCGTAGCACCCTGGCCTCACTCCCTCCTTGCTGTGCTTGGTCAACGTTATTAATCGACCCTGGCACACTGACCTGAGCCCAGAGGCAGCCTCAGAATCATTCCCAACACAGTGCTACAGGACAGCCCTTACTAATCCCTCAGAGTGGCTGTTCCTCGATAATTTTATGATCAGGGTATGCGAGGGCAAAACCAAGCACTATTCAGTGATAGCCACCCAGACTTAATCACCGGATCTTAGTCTAAGAGACAAACACGTTAAACCAACCAATATATGATATTGTTGAACGAGGCCTGCAGTCCTGGGTTCAAATGCTGACTTTGCCACATTCTAACTATGTGACCTTGAACGTGTTACTTCACCTTTCTGACCCTATTTCTCATCGTTAAATGGTGAATATAATGGAACCATCCCATAGGTCTGCTGTGAGGATTAGGAGAAATGAGTGATAAAAGGCTCTTGATAGCTAATGAGCACGCGGCAGATGTCGGTTGCCACCATCCGTCTTCCCTAGAAACAAAGAATAAATCGGTCATTCTTCACATGTGATCAATGCATTCTGATTTGCAAAGTGCATTCTCATTTACAATTTTAGTTAACAATCACTAACTACACCCGTTTGAGCTTAACCATCAAGAAGTAGGGCAAGACCGGGGTGCCTGGGTGGCTCAGTTAAGCGGCTGCCTTGGGCTCAGGTCATGATCTCAGGATCCTGGGATCGAGCCCCACATAGGGCTCCTTGCTCAGTGGGGAGTCTGCTTCTCCCTCTCCTTCTGCCTGCCACTCCCCCTGCTTGTGCTTGTGTATTCTCTCTCTGTCAAATAAATAAATAAAATCTTTAAAAAAAAAAAAAAAAAGTAGGGCAAGACCATCACCCTCTCCTTCCAAACCCCATACTTCTGTTAATGTAGTCAAAGAATTATTTGGCATGGCCTCGTGGCTATGTGGCTCACCAGTGATAAAAAGCGCTCCCACTCCGCTCTGGCCACAGTCTCTCTAAATCCCCATGGGGCAGAGGCTCACTTTTGTTATCAAAATCCAACAGAAGTGTGTGAAGCCCTGGGAGTCTAGGTCTGATGGTTTCTCTGTCCCCTTCCCTCCACAGGACGGCACATTTGGGCTGAACTGCAGTGAGCGCTGTGACTGCAGCCACGCGGATGGCTGTGATCCTGTCACGGGCCACTGCTGCTGTCTCGCCGGATGGACAGGTAGCCCCCGCCCCCACTGTGCCGCCCCCCGCCCGCACCCAGGGCCTGGGAAAGCAGGTTCTAGGTGTTCTACTTCTCTTGACTGTTCTTTCTCTTTCTCTTTCACTTCTTCTTGCTCCTTATGCATGCACGTTTCCCTTCTCTCCTCTGGGCCTCAGTTCTCTGTTCCCTACAGTTCAAGCAAGCCAATTATTGAACACCTAGTATGTTCAGGCTTCATTCTAAAGGCTAGGGACATACCAGTAAAAAATCAGACAGAGGCTAATACATGGTGAGCACAGGTGCTTAATCTGCATTCTCGGAGGATAGGGTAGAGATGGGGACGGGGACCTTGTGCTTAGCCCAGCCTCACACTCCTGGTCCCTTATATGTGTCTGTCAGCCTATCTCCTAAGCACATGGCAAACCCATCCCACTGCTGCCATCCTGGTCCTCCAAGCACCATCTCTCAGCTGGCTCTGCCCTGGCCTCCTCCGTGGTCTCTGGGCCTCCCCTGTTGCCCAGCTGCATCCATTCTGCATATGGTGGCCAGAGTGAACTTCTCAAACCCCAGCTCCATTCACATCAGTTCCTGCTCAGAGTGCCTCAGTGGCTTCCCATGGCACTTATAGAAAATCCAAAATCCTTACAGTGGCCCAGGGTCCCTATGAGCTGGCCCCCGCCCAACTCTGCCACCTCCCTTTTGGCCCCTCCCATCATTCACTACACTGCAGCTACCTGGGCCGACCACCTTCCTGACCCCAGGCCTTTGTGTGTGCCTTCTCTCCACAGGCATTGCTCTTTCCTTTTCTCCGCACCTGATGATGCCCTTCCCCATTACCACCCAGCCAAGACTATGTAAGAGTCCCTCTTATGAGTTCTCGTAATATCCTACACTCTTCTCTTTGCCATACTTACCTCCATTGTCACTGAACAGTCATTTGAGTATTTTTTTATTATCTGCCTCCTCAACTAGACCATCAGCTCTCTGGAGGCAGGGCCTTGCTCACCCCTGTGTCCACTGCCTGCCACCGAGAGATGACATGGTGGTTAAGAACACAGAGCTGGAGCCAGACTGCCTGGGTTTGGGACCTTGAGTGAGTCCTTTAACCTCTCAGGGCCTGAATTCTCCATCCATAAAATGCAGATAATTATAATCCTCGCAATTATAGGGTCATTTTGAAGTTTAAATGAGTTAATACCTGCAAGTGCTAACAGGGCATGGCGCTGTGCTCGATAAATGTAGCCCATGAATACAGGAAGTGCTTAATAACGCCGTGCTGGGTGAATGCGTGCAGTCCCAAGGTGGTGGGCAGAGGGAGAGATACAGGCGTTCCTGGCAGTGTGGGTCTTCAGATAATCGTTCACACCAGGTTGCTGAGCAGCCTCTGTTTTCCACAACCAGAAAGTGTCTGAGCAGCAGAAAGCCCAGGGATATTGCTTCCTCGGTAGCATCTCTGACCTGGCTCCCCTGCCCAGCCTCGTGGTACAGAGTAAGGCTCATACCCTAGTCACTGGCCCCCAGATTCCTAGCTGGAGCCAAGTGGAAATCCGCTTTAATTTTTCATGGCCTTAATTTCAAGTGAGCCGATGATAAGATTTTAATGCTAGTGCTTAAAAATTCTGTCTTTGATGGACAACTTTTCAGCAAGGCCTCTGCTGTTCTCATATAAAGCTAATTTTCCCAAATATGGTCCTGAAGTCATTTCAAAGGAGTGATTGATGTCCTGAGGTTTGTAATGGAAAAGGGGACCAAGGCAGGGAAAGGAGGGGATGCAGGCATAGGACCCGGACTCCCACTCGGTGAACCCTCCCCACCCACCCCTGCCCCAAGAAGTCTGTCCCTGACTTCCCAGCTCCTGGCATATTGCTCATGCCTTGGCTCAACAGTGGCTTTGCTCTGCCCTAAATATGTGCAGGTCTTCTCCCCTTGCCCACACAAACCACAGATTTTGACAGGTGCCCCCATGTTTCATTCACTTTGCCCTGTGCATAGCAGGTGTTTAGTAAATGTCTATTGAAGTAAATTGAAAGAAGCTGGGCTATAACCATATATGAGTTTTTCCCCTTGAAGCGAAGGAACCTCCAAGGTGGTCTACTCTAACCTCCTCAGACTACAGATGAGGAAAGGGACTTGTCCAGGGTCTTGGGGCATTAGTGCCAAAAGGATGGGGACATGGAATTGCATCGTAAAAAGGAGCCATCTATTCATTCAATTAGCATTTATTGACTCAAGCAATCATCAAGTCCTTAGTTGGCAACTACCATGTATCCAGCACTGTGTCAGGCCCAGCGTTAAATAGCAAAATTCAATAACAGCAATGGTCCCTGGACACCCGTTATGTGCCAGACACCATGCTGGGCACCAGAGAAGCAAAGATAACCAAGAAGGCATCCTGTCCACCAGGAGCACCAAATAAGGAGGGTCAAAGTGTCAGTAAGCCACGTTCCCTGACTTCAAATTGCTGGCAGGGGAGATAAGACTTATGCATGAAACATTCAAATAATAGGCAGGGACAAACCTGTATGCCACTGACTACCCAATAGATGCTTGAATCCCTGGGCAGACATCTGGGAAGGCTTCCTGGAGAAGGAGGACCCTAAGCGGACCCTGAAGGATATAGACTGCTGAGTTGCTGGCCTCGTGGCATGGACTTGAGGTCACGATACATGGATTCTTAGCCTAGCTTTACCCATCAACATGGATGTGTAGGGGGTCCTGAAAAATAAAGCAGGGAGATTCCCTAGGGATAAGACAGGGAAGGACCTCTGAGGGGGATTATTATCCCTATTTAACTAGGGAAAACAGGGCCTAGATAAGGTAACTGGTGAAGCTATGTCTCTTCAGAAGCTGTACTTGGAAGACCCTCTCACAGGCCAAGTGGCAGCCCCTTTGAGCACTCCAGTAGAACCAGGGCTCTCCACGCAGGGGGAAACCCTAGACCCTTCTCCCCACTCAGGGAGTGTCTTAACTTCCAGGGAGTTCTTAGAACAGATGAAAACCTCCAACAGGGGCCCCACTCCCACAGAACCAGGCCTAGAATATAATAATTGCCAGATCCTAAAAACAGTGAGCCCTTGCCACCACCTGCCATCTGCATGATCACCTTGCAGCCATGGTTCTCAATCCCCAAGAAAGAGAACCCTTTTGGGACGTGAAAACATCTTGAGGGTCCCACACGAAAGTAGCTGTAGTTTTAAATATCTGTGGATTGGGAGAACACTCGATAGCAACAAGCTGCCATGAATTCAAGGGGGCTTTTGCATGCATTGGGTTTCATTAATCACAGCAGGGTCTGCAGACGGGTTTAGGAAAGAGCAGTGTGACCCGTGTGCCTTGGTCAGACTACGTGAGCACGTGGGGCACAGACGGGATCAGAGGTCCCTGTCAGGTGGCAGGGTGCCTCCCGGGAACAGCAGAGTCCGTCGGCCCACAGCCTGATCCTGGCTTTCCCACAGAAGAATTCCTTGGTCACAGCTCCTGTGTTCCCAGAGAAGGGGAGACGTGAAGTTGTATCCAAAGCTTTGAGCAGCCTTGTGGTTCTCGCTCCCCCAGGCTCCCCTCGGGTCCATGCCCGGGCTTTGTCTGGGTGTTAGCCCCTTGAGCACCTGAAACTGCACCGGGCGAGACCTCCATCAAGGGGTGAAGTGTGCCAGCCAGATTCCCTCCCTCCACAAAGAGGCCTCATTTCTCAGAGAGTGGCGTCGAAAGCCCTCGCCCTGCTGCCAAATTGAGATGTCACAGGGAGGGAGGCCAGGGAGGGAATGTGGGCGCTAGACTAGACGAGAGCTGGAGGATGAGTAAAGCCCTGTCGCGGCCCCTCCCTCTCTGCTCTCTCTGGCTGCTCAGCCCTCTCCTCCCTTTCCCACGGGCTCGGGTGGGCTGTACAATTCCAGCCTGCCTCCAAATTGGTCCCACTGCTCTCCTGCTGCTGCTCGGGCTGGCTCTCTTCGCTGGGCCTGAGAGTCTTCTTCCCTCTTTCTGTCTCTTTCGCGTAATCCCTGTCCCTGTAACAAGGCAGACATGATTTTTTAAACCAATTCTCTTCTCTGAGCCTCTGATGTTCGCCTTCCCAAGTCAAGCCAGTTTCCTGGGCCCACGCCTTCCGTTCGCCTAATGCATGTCAGACTGGAAGTATTTCTGCCCAAGAGGAAACCCCACCCCAGAGCTGGGGCCTCCAGCCTCAGGCCTTTTGAAATTCCTTCTTAGCCTTTGGGCTGTAATCACCTCAGTACATATTCGCTCTATCTCAGCTCCAAAAATTATGTAGGCCTTCTTCCTCTTTCTTAATAGAGTACATCGCAGTGCAGAGAAAACATCAGAGTGCATCACCTCCAGTGACAGTAAAATGTCATTTTGCAAAGTGTTGGTTTCTGTCATACACGTATGTGCACTTATGATCTAAAATCCACGTTCCAGGCAGGGCCACCTGGGTGGCTCAGTCATTAAGCGTCTGCCTTCGGCTCAGGTCATGATCCCGGGGTCCTGGGATCAAGCCCCGCATCGGGCTCCCTGCTCGGCCGGAGGCCTGCTTCTCCCTCTCCCTCTCCCCCTGCTTGGGTTCCCTCTCTTGCTGTCTCTCTCTCTGTCAAATAAATAAATAAAATCTTTAAAAAAAATAAAATAAAATCCACGTTGCGCTGAGGGCCGTGGTCAAAAGAATCTGAGGAGACCCCACCCACTGTCTGGGCCTGCACCCTAGGTTGGCTGGAACCCAAAGGACCCGGAGCTCCTAGGCTGACATGGGTGGGCATGTAGCTCCCCCCCAGCTGCTGCAGCCGGCCCCATGACAGCACTCCCTTGCCCCACAGTTGGTTTCTGTCAAGCCTAACCTTGGATTCCAGCAAAGATGTCAAAAAGGAAGGTGACCCTTCATGACCTTGTTCCTTCTTGGTCCCACAATCTCATCTCTTGCCATACCTCATTTTGTACTTTGTGGCTCAGCCACACTATGCTGTTTTCTTTTAAGGCGTGATTCTCTCTCCTGCCTCCTAATTTTTGGACAGAGTTTCCTTTACCTGGTAAATTCCTCCGTGGCCCTTAGGACTGACTCACTTTGGGCATCACCTCTTCCTGGAAGCCCTCCCTGACCAGCCAAGCCTGGACTGGAGTTTTCCTCTACATTCCCAGATGCACTGTGCTCACCTCTACCCCTTCATTCTGCAGAGGGCCCCTTCCCATCATCCTTCCCTCTGCCTTCACTCCTCTTACCACTGACCCAAATTTACCCCCGGCCCACAGGCATCCGATGTGACAGCATGTGTCCGCCTGGTCGCTGGGGTCCCAACTGCTCCGTCTCCTGCAGCTGCGAGAACGGCGGGTCCTGCTCCCCAGAGGATGGGAGCTGCGAGTGTGCCCCTGGCTTCCGAGGAACCTTATGCCAGAGAAGTAAGGCTGAGCCCCCCACCCCACAGATGGCTCACTTTCCCCACCCCTTCCCTGTTGGAACAAGTCAGGGCTGGGCTCTCAGGGTCAGCCCCCATCAAACCCCTCCCTTCTGGTCCCCTCTCTCCCTGCGCTGGCTCTTCTGTCTCTGAGTTCAGGGCCCAGCCTGGCTCCTCAGTGGAAACTGGACCAGACCACAGCTTCTCTCTGCAGGAAGGGACAGGCCCTCAAAGGTGCAGGGTGGGGACAGCTTTCCCCATACTCTTGAGGAGCCTCCCTTCATCCCCGTGTGGTATAGGACAGGTAGCCAAGCTGACTGGGGCCCCTGAGGCTGCTGACCACCATCTCCCCTTCATCCCCAGTCTGCCCCCCTGGGCTCTATGGCCATGGCTGCGCCCAGCCGTGTCCCCTCTGCGTGCACAGCAGTGGGCCCTGCCACCACATCAGCGGCATCTGTGAGTGCCTCCCAGGATTCTCCGGAGCCCTCTGCAACCAAGGTAGTGTCTCCAGGGCAAGTGTGGGCCGGGGAGGTGAGGCATCTTGGGAAGGAAGCGGCTGGAAGGAGGGGCTGGGGGATTCTCATCATACACCATGGAGGCAGCTCCCTGCCTCATCAGGGCTCGGGCCTACCCTTCTGAGAATTGGTCACCACCAGGCCTGAGACGAAGCTATTATGCAGTTAAAGGAACAAGCTCAGAGAGGTTAAATGGCTTCTCCATGGTCTCACAGCTAGGAAGTGGCAGAGCCGAGAAATTCCGACTCCAAAGCTGATGAAAAATGAAATTAGCGTAGATGAGTTCTGCATAAGAAGTGTCCCCAAATGGCTTATGCCGAGTGCCAAGTGGTAAAGGCAGAGGATGACGTGGGAACTCAGAGGGGACAGTTCTGGCAGGAGCTGGAGATGGCAGCTTCCCAGCCCTTCTCCCCCCACACTCAGGCCAACATCGCTGATCCCTCACGGCACACATTCCTGTCTCGGCGGCAGAATCCTTCGCAACGCCAACTCCAGCCAACCTCCACCACTCAACAGGACTCGGAAAGGGAGACAAAGCTCATTTGCATTGGTGTGCTGCTAAACTGGCTCTCTGTGGGGGAAAAGCCTTACTTTGTAACATTTGCAAGCAAGTTCCATGATCTGAATGTCTCCACCATGGCTGATTCCGTGGTACCAGGGGTTTGACACGGGTCACAAAATTCCTGAATATTTAACAACCAGTGTGAGGGTAGAAGCTGGCTCCAGCAAATACTGCTGCTTATTGCCATCCCTGGCTCAGTTAGGCCAAGGCGGTGTAGATTTGGGGGGGCGGCTCCGTGCTGTTGCAGGCCTTCAGTGAGGCCTCAGCCTAAGAGGCAGAGAAGGCAGGAAGGCACTGTGGGTAGAGCAGACAGCTTGGGTGTGGACACCTGACTGTCCAGCAGTAGAGAGTGGCAGAAGGATGCGGGGGCCTGCGTGGGGATGGCAGAGGGAACTGGGAAGGGAGTCTGGGGCCCTCGGGACAGCTTAGAACACAGGGTTACAGAATTTGCACTCTATCCTATAAGGAGCAAAGAGATCTTAGACTAAAGTAAACTTAAGAGCTAAAAGCAACTTCAAGGTCATCTGTGCAAGAATCTCATCTGGCCTGTGTTTAAATGCTTCCACTGAGAGCTCACTACCTCCCAGGGGAACAGATTCTTTTGATGAATAATCACCACTGAGCTGGGCTGGCTTTGTAAGTGTATGGGCCGTTAATATGTATGAGTGGAAAGTTCACTCCATGATGCTTTGAGGTCATGAGAAGTTTGGGCCCCAGGGAAGCATATGTGACAGTTTCATTTGCTTGCAGTCCTCCCAGGACAGTTTAATCATAACCTGACACGTCGAGGTTTACTTATTAAACATTGGAGACCCAGCCGTCAATACAGATAGGCTGGGTCTAAATTAGGATCTAAGCAGCCCGAGGAGTAAGTCTTGGATCCTGCGATGTCTGATTTATCGCCCGCTGGTCTAATGAGTATTTTCCACATATAGATCTAATAGAGTTTGCTATTAATGGCAGCTGCCCTGGTTAAGTCTCAAACCTTGTAAAAAATTGAACTGACACTTTCTAATGACCGGCTTTCCAGCGAGTTACAAATTACAGACACTGCTTATGCAGAATCATTAAACATAGATTAAATACAACCAGATGTTTTCTTTTCACCAGCCCCCTTCTCCACCACCCCTTTTTGCCTCACTCTTGATTCAGCTAAGAAGTCGACCAATTAATGTATTAGACTGATCGCATTAGCAGCTCTGTAGGTGAATTTGTCAGCCCTGTGTGGGTGAGAAAGACTTCAAAGATAAGACTGTCTTGTTAGAGAAGCTCAGAGCTCGTTTGGGGGGTATGGGTAGGTGGAGTAGCTCACCCCACTCCCCATACAGGGCCAGGACTGGAGAATGGGCTCCCCAAATCAAGCACCTCCCAGAGGTGGGGAAGAGGAGGCTGGGCAACCTGCTGTTCTGGAAGCTGAAGCTGGGACCTGAGCTGCAGGTGGCGAGGTGTGTGTCAGCCGCCCTGGTAGGAGCTAAGGTTTTTGCCAGGGGAAGCACAGGGCCCCACTGTCAGCCATCCCCCACCCCATAGCTGTTAACCACAGCCTGAGGCCAGTGTGTGACGGGTACAGGCCCCATTTCAAAGATGAGGAAACAGGACGTAGAGGGGTCATGCAGTCTGCTCAAAGTGCCTAGCCAGTTAAGTGGCAGACCTTCCGAGCCGTGTGACCTCGGGCAAATTACTTAACCTCTCGGTCCCTCCGTTTCCTTATCTGTGAAGCAGAGTTAATAATAGGGAGTAATAATGAAAATATCTAACATTGACAGTATCACGAGGTTGACTGAACTATTTGTGAAGCACTTGGAACAGTGTCCAGTGCATATAAGTGCCATAGAAATTTTTGTGGAATACATAAATAAAATTAAGACCCAAACCCAAGGCTTTAGACTGGAGACCCTGGTGTGCCACGCTGCCTTCATGATCTGTCCCAACCACTGATCACGCCCAGGAAAGGCATAGGGTGGACACAGATCCTAGGCTCCAACTGCCCACAATCTGACCATCTTGTTGGGGAAGGGCTGGCAAGGGGAGGCAGTGTGGCATAGAGAAGAGGGTGCGAGCCCAAGGTTTAAGGGAACTGGGTCCTGGGTACGTTGCTTTGCTTCAAGAATCAGTACCTTCCCATGATCCTCCATGTGGCTCACCCAACTGAGGGCCTCGGGGGGTTCAAGGAATTCCTCCCCCATAACAGGAATGCAACGAAGCCTTCTTTGAGGATGGAGGGCTGGCTACAACCGGGCTTTGAAGGGAGAAGGTTGCACTGAGAAGAGCTCAAAGGGACAGGAGTCAGTGATCCCAGCAGAACCCACTGGAAGGTCACCGCTCCTGGGGCCTATTTTGGTATTCCATTTTGGAATACTTCCTGAGTATTTGCCATGTGTCAGGCACTGTCCTGGGCACTCGGACACAACAAGAAACAAGAGAGCCAAGTGCCTTGCCCTCACACAGCCTGTAGTCTAGAGGGGGACATTCAGAGCTCAGCCTTCCCCAGCAGAACTTGGGAGTTCAAGGGGAGCCAGTTTACTCCCATACGTTCAGCCATCATCCCTGCTTTTTCCAGGCATAGTGGAGAACAAAGACATGGGCAGAACTCAGGCCTGGCCTGAAATCGGCTCACAAGTCACAGTAACAGAAGACCAGGGAAGAAACTAACAGAGAGTCTGGAAGTTCAAACAGTTGGGAAATAGCTGCCCAGAACAGAGATGATGGGCGAGTCAGGATTAAGTTCAGTTTTAAGTGACATAAACACCCCAAATAACTGGCTTGAAACTGACAAACATTATTTCCCTTAAAAAGAAAGAAAGAAACGATCCAGAAGTAGACCACTGGAGAATGGCAGGGTAGCTTACAAAGAGGTCAGGAGCCAGCCTCCTTCTGTCCTGTTCAGCCATCCTCAGCACATGGCCTCCACCTCTGATGGAAGGTAGTTGCTTAAACTCCAGCCACCTCATCCACAGTTCTTATCCATAATCCACATTATCCTTCAACAAGGACAAGGAATGGACAAAGACACGCATTTCCACTTACCAGAGTGTAGTCACATGACCATATCCAGCTAAGCAGGAGCCTCAGAAATGAAGTCTTTATTGCAGGTGGCCATAAGCCCAGCTAAAACTCCAGATTCTACTTCTAAGGAAGTCTGGATGGTTGAAGGACTAGCAGCCTACTACAGGGGGATCATGGGGAAGGTAGCATTTAAAATGAGTCTTACGGGTGGCTCAGTCGGTTAAACATCTGATTCTTGATCTCAGCTCAAGTCTTGATCTCAAGAGTCTGTGAGTTCAAGCCCTGCCTTGGGCTTGATGCTGGGCATGCAGCCTACTTAAAAATAATAATAAAATAAAAATAAAATGAGTCTTATAGGCAAGGTAAGATTTCCACAGCTGGACAGGAGGGTCAGGGAAGCTCTGGAAGGGAACAGCTGAAGCTAAGTTCTAATAACATGGGGTGTTATTAGAAAGTGGTGTGTGGACCAGTGGCTTATGTGTCTTGGGAGAGAGGGGTAGTCACCAGGTGAAGTAGCTTAAGTGTTGCTCTTTAGGATCCAGATTTTATTGTGGGGCAGTGGGAGCCACTGAGGATGTTTGAGCAGGGCACAGAAGTGCCATAAAGAGAGCTAAGATTTAGAGAGCTTAAGTTGTAGGAAGCAGGTGGAGGATGAACTGCAGGGGAAATGAGAGGCAGGTGCTCAACTAACACTCAGACCTTGTTCTACAGCAACTCGCAGCCTGGTTGAGGAAACCAGCCCTTCCTTTAGGGACCAAGGAGTGACTCCTCTGGGGGGGAGGGGGGGAGAACCGCAACCCTACAAGTGACTCAAAGTGAAATACCCCAGGGGCTCAGTGGAAGACAGCACCTTGTGAGCCCAGGAGGGCTGTCTGGAGGCTGAGCTTAAGGCTTGAGGAACAGGTGGGATTTGGAGAGACAGAGGAAACGGGTGGGCAGAGACAGTCATCCAACAGTCTAACTGCAGGCCGACCTGGCCCCCTGCACTCGTCCCTCTCCTTCCAGCTACAAACATTGTCCACCCTCGTGCCTATGGGATCAGTGATGCTGGCAAGAACGTGGTAGCGGACAGCAGGAGGCTGCGGAGCAGTGTGGGGAGCACTGGATGGAGGGCGGAGGTGGGATTCCCAGCCTCGCCCGCTTCCATCCGTGAGGCCCAAGTCAAGCGACTCTACCCCTCTGGGCCTGTCTGTGCCTTCAAAGGGATCATTAATTGAGCCTCCAGAGGAATGCAGCTGTGGGCACAAGAAGGGAACTCAACTGGGGAAGGGTGATGGGGCTGTGGAGGTGGGCAGTTCCCACTCAGATCTGGGAGCCCCGGGGCCATCAGAGCTGTGGCCTGGGAACTTCCAGGGGCGCAGCAGCTGTGGGTGGGGGTCTGAGGAGAACACGTGGGAGGGCAGGTGCCAGGCTGTCCTGTGCCCACAGTGTGTGCTGGAGGGCACTTTGGGCAGGACTGTGCCCAGCTCTGCTCCTGTGCCAACAATGGGACCTGCAGCCCCATCGATGGCTCCTGCCAGTGCTTCCCTGGATGGATTGGCAAGGACTGTTCACAGGGTAAGCAGCTGCCCAAGGAATGCCCTCCACCAGGAGCCAGGCCCCAAAACACACCCTCCTCCTTGCCCAGAACCTCTTTTTTGCCCCTGGTGCCTCCACCTCCCAGGACTGAAATCTCCTTCCGCAGACAAGACTATCCACCTGAGTCCCAGTTAGAGTCCCATAGCTGACGGGATGGGTTATTAGGGTTGATCACTGGCATTATTAACTGTTAGTACGAAAGGTACTGACATTGTTGGGAGTACCATTGTTACCCTACCAAGAATTAATACTCCATGAGCACCTGAGCAAGGAGTAGCCCCTAAGTTCGGTTGGGGAGGAAGAAGGGGCAGGGACTAGCATGCTGGGGTTTGGAAGTGGGGAAGTGAGGTGAGAGCAGGGCAGTCACCTCAGAAGGGTGAGGGCGTCCCCTCAGTGACCCATGTGAATGATGTCCTGGGCACATAAGCCTGGACAAGGCATTGTAGAGGCTGTTCTTGTAAGGTGTGCCCAGCCTTGTAAGGTGTACCCAGAGACCACACAATCTAAGGATGGAGGATTAACCTCTGCCCTGTGGAGCGCCCTGTCTGATGGGTGAGACAGGGACCGTACCCCTAGGGAGGTCCCGGTTAGATGGCCTGGCCTGAGGGAATTTCCATTCTGGTGGAGGAGACACAAGTGTCATCCTCAGGGAGCTCAGCAGCCGAAAGAGGGGAGTCCCTATCCTGGGAAAGTCCCCATCATGGGGAAGTTAACACACAGTATTCACACTGTAAACTGCAATGTTTCGTTTACCACACCCACCCACACGCTCCAAATCACAGCCAGTCCCCCAAGAAGGGAAGTTCAGGAGCCCTCAGAGCTGGGAGAGTGGGCAGAGAATTTGGGCTTCCTGGGAATCCTGGGTAAGTGGGCCAAGAGGTGAGTGGAGGAATTCTGGGAAGTGTGTCAGGAACGCCAGAAAATACCAGCTGGGTGTATCATGGCACCTTGGCTGATGTGCCATCCCCCTTCCTCTCTCTCCCTTTCTGTCTGCTTCATTCTGCCTTGCCCTCACCCTGTGCATCCCACCCACCCCCAGCTTGCCCACCAGGGTTCTGGGGCCCCGCCTGCTTCCACACATGTAGCTGCCACAATGGGGGGAGCTGCAGCGCTGAGGATGGAGCCTGCCACTGCACCCCTGGCTGGACTGGACTCTTCTGCACGCAGCGTAAGTCCTGCCTCCTAGCCTCCCAGCCTCCCAGCCATTCAGAATCTCATGCTGCGGCCTGCTGGCTGCCTTGGGCATCGTCCAGGCCGGTGGAGGGAGGGAGGAGGCGGGGCCCGAGGGTCCGGAGCTGCCCCCACCCCACCCAAGGAGTGGGAAACTTAGGTGGATTCAGGGGGTTGAATAGCCCCGTGTCCTGGAAAGTCAGGGCTGTAAGGTGCTCCAGCAATCACCAAGACCTGAGAGTGGGGCCCAGAGAGGGAGGAACAGCCTGTGGCTACACGGCAGGGAGACCCCAGCCTGGCCTCTCATGCTAGGAAGGATTCCTCACAGCCACCACTACCCTGTCGGCCTGAGCGTCCAGAGTGCAGAGACAGCTAAGGTGAGGTGCTGGGTCTCACTGCTCCTCACCGTGTGCGCAGAGAAAGAGGCAGCAGATGACAGGTTTGGTCCCAACTGTACCGCTGCAGTTGTCCCCACCGTTTCTCCAGGCTGCCCTGCAGCGTTTTACGGGAAGGACTGTGGGCGCGTGTGCCAGTGTCAGAACGGCGCCAGCTGTGACCACATCAGCGGCAAGTGCACCTGCCGCACGGGCTTCACCGGGCGACACTGTGAGCAGAGTAAGCTGTCCCAACCCCTGACCCTGGGTGTTAGTGCCAGGCATCAGCCTCCTGCTGGGGGAGCCTCCGCCTTCACAGTCCACTCATTCAGGGCTCTGCACCTCCTGTTCCCTGGATTTTTGGAGCAGCTTCCAAGAAAAAAGGCTGAAGAGGGTCATGCCTATATCAGTGTTCGTTGAGTTTCTTCCTCCAGTTGGGGGTCGGGGGAGGAATGGGGGGATGCTGAGAGCAGAACAGACGGCTGAGGGAGTACTGAGGGAATAAAGGCAGTCAGATCTTTAATTCTTTGAAGCCACAGTGGCACCCAGCTCAGGGCCTGGCACGTGGAAGATGCTGCATACATGTGTCAAGTGAGGAAGAAGTAGAAGTGTGTGTCCCCCCCACTCAGGGCTGAGGTGCTCCATCCACCCCCAAGCATCAAACCAAACCACAATGGGAGCCACAGGGAAATAGGTTTTACTCTGGGAGTCAGAACTGGCTAATCATAGCTGGCCACAAGTGTGTCTCACTGTCTGTTGCATGTGTTCTTCATGCTACACAGGATGTGCCCCAGGAACCTTTGGCTACGGGTGTCAGCAGCTGTGCGAGTGCATGAACAATGCCACCTGTGACCACGTCACTGGCACCTGTTATTGCAGCTCTGGATTCAAAGGAATCCGGTGTGACCAAGGTAATACACAGGTGGGGAGTCCCTAGGCAGGGGCTCTGGAAAGGGCCTAGGGAGACTCCAATGGGAACTGGATTTTATAAGGACAGTTTGTGACTTCCCTTTTATTCACTTCTGGAAGGAGAGCAAAGGGGTGTGTTGCAGAGGGGCAGGCAGAGGCTCCAGGTACTGTGTACTAGAGGCAGTCGGAGCAGGAGCGTCTCAGTCATGGCTTCCCCATGCTCATCTTTGGCAGGTTTCCTGTGAGCCAAACAAGGGTAACCGCAAGCTAGTTCATGTGGGAAGGCCAATGGACAGTCGAAGATAGGCCCAGTTCTGGTTCTACTAGATGTCCTGGGCAGGTCATTTCGTTGTACTGAGCTTATTATTCCACATGCAAAGTGGGAAGAGATTAATCCTTGTCTTCCAGCACAAAACAAGGTTCTTTTGAGGGCCAAGGAGCCCAAAGGGGCTCAACCCTGGCTCCAGCTCTACAGTTGGAGGACACCCCAGAGTACAGTTGTGAGGACCAAGTTGAGACAATATGAGTAGAGGACTTGGCACAGTCCTGGCGCATAAGCAAGCACTCAATAAATGATTTTGTATACATAAAAACCCTCTGTGAAGTGCTGCAAACAAATACGGGATTATTATTGTTGTTTGGTCTAGAAGATGGGGAATGAGAATGGGCTTTCAATTTACCCACATAACAGAAAGGGGGCCAAAAGACATTTCCATTGCATTCTGATGATACAGCATAAAGAATGATAATGCAGCACATTATTTCCCCGAGGATGTTGGCTAGCTCCATTCGGCCAGTTGCTGATGATAGCCAAGGAGAGGTCTAGACGGTGCCAGGCAGCAGGATGACCTCCACCATGGGCTTAGCATCAGCATGCAGTTAGCCCGCATGTACGTCATCAGGAGGGGTTTTGTGGACAGTATTCCTGGGCACAAAGGCACACTTTCATTGCCAGTCTGTCATATGATGCTCACAGTTCCCTGCAGAGGGTGGAATTATTGTCCCTATGTTACAAACGAACAATATGAGAACTTGGGAGTCACACAGCTGGTAAGCAAGGAGATGGGCTGAGTCCAATTTTTCCCAACTCCTAAGGAACCTGACTTTACCAATTACCTGTTATATGATCTTGGTTAAGTTATCTAGCCTTGTGATGACTTCCTTCATCTGTGAAAGGGAAATAATTGAATAGTCCCCATATTATATGGCTGCTGGGAAGATCAAATGAGTGAATCTCTGTAACTCACTTTTTAGAACAAAGTACTCAGTAAACATTCGTTGTTATTTTATTTGCCATCCACAATCACATTTGTTCTTTCTCATAACCCTGGAGCTCCATCCCCTGTAGGCAGTTGAAGAAACAGGCACAGTAAGGGATAGGATCACACAGGGATTGAAGAATAGGGCCAAAGACCAGAACCAGGTCTCCTAAAGTGCGAGGAGTCTAGGCCCTGGGCCAGGATCTGAAGAGCAAGCAGGCCTGCCCCAGACTCAGGTCCTCCCTCTATCCGCAGCTGCCCTCATGATGGAGGAGCTGAATCCCTACACCAAGATCAGCCCAGCGCTGGGTGCAGAGCGGCACTCGGTGGGTGCTGTCACAGGCATCGTCCTCCTGTTGTTCCTCATTGTGGTGCTGCTGGGCCTGTTTGCTTGGCGCCGGCGGAGACAGAAAGAGAAAGGCCGTGACCTGGCTCCCCGTGTCTCCTATACACCTGCCATGAGGATGACCAGCACAGACTACTCGCTCTCAGGTAAGGGCTATGCCCCCAGCATCCCCTCTCCTACCCCTAAACACACACACACACACACACACACACACACACACACACTGCTGCTGCTGCTGAATGTTGGGGGTCAGGCTTGCAGGATTGCCTGCTGGGGCTGGATACTCAGACTCTCCTGGGAGAGTTGGGGGTTGGGAGCAGAAGCCTACTTGGGAAAGGGGTTTTATGAGTGTGTCATTTCCCGGATGCCTAGCTCTGAGCAGCTATGATTAGGAGTCTCCTTCCATTTCCCCAGAGCTTCCTTCCTATCTTTCTCACCACGCTTTGGCCACAGGAACACCTACACTAAACAGTGACTTTCCTAAACTCTCCAGGGGAACCTCTTCTCAGCCCAATGCCTGAGCCACCTCAAGAAACTGGCCCTGGGGCTATTTCCAAGCCCTGTTCCATCTTTGCTTCCTTGGGGAAGGCCTCAGAGCAACTCTTCCTCCCAGTTTCCAGAGTTAAGAGGGCCCTATTAATACAGTGGAAGGGGATGGTGCCTGACGTGGGGTGGGGGGAGAGTTTAAAGTTTGGGCAATGACCCAGTATATCCAAAATGTGGTAATTATCTCTAATGGGCATTCTATCTAGAGTCTGAATGGGGTGGAGGTGGGGCTGTTAGGCCAGATCCTTCCTCTCTCCTGAACCCTGGACTGCTGCCTTAGAAATGAGGCTTTGGGCTTCATATTTAGTTAAACAGAAGAGGTCAAAATGCTCTGAAATTGCACATAGCCCTGGGCCACAGGACGCTGGGCCTGTCTGGGTAGGCACAAGGATGATCACTTTCTCCAGCTGACTCCATGCAGCCTCCAGCATCTTGGACTCAGAAAACCAAGATCACATCAGCCCATTCTTGCTAAGTACTGCCCACCATGTGCCCACTCCATGCTAGGTGATACAGGGTAGACAGGGGTGGTCCAGGTGCAAACCTTGCCTTCAGAGAGCTCCTGGCCTGCTTGCCTCCCTGGGTTTCAGCCAAAGCAAATACCCCTGATGAAATCCCAAGCCCACAGAGCTGATTTGGGGATTTTCTTCTATGACTATAATGAATAAGTCTGGCTGGTTTTCCCATACCATTCCACTGGAATTCCCCTACACTGTGGAGGGGTCCTAGAATCCACAAAAGGGCAAGGCTGGGGCTGAGAGGAGAGGGATTCTCTTTATGGCCTCACTCCTGGGATAGATCTCTGCAGGGAGGCAGGGGAGGGCAGCACAGCCCTACAGAGCGGCTCAGGGACATACGAGGCTGTCAAAGCCAACACTCCTCATCCATGCTCTAGCTGGTGGATGCCACCCTCCACACTGGCAAGCCTAACTTGGATCCTGCAGGGCGGGACACCATGAAGGAAGAGGCAAATTAGGATCTACAGATTTCTGTGGGGGTAGTGGATACCAGAAAGCTTAGGGGATGGGGGACTTAGGTGTCTCTCTTTGCAGAACATTCACAAGGTTGCCCAGCCCAAGTGTTAATATTGGGGTGTCCTCATGCCAGGGACAGGGGTATGATGGTATGGCACCTTGTTCTCTTCCCAGATTTGTCTCAAAGTAGCAGCCATGCACAGTGCTTTTCCAATTCCAGCTACCACGCACTGGCGTGCGGGGGGCCTGCCACCAGCCAGGCCAGCACTCTGGACAGGAACAGCCCCACCAAGGTACCGGGCCCCCGACTCCCCAGCCCCTACCCACCGTCCTCCCAGTGAGCCCTCACCTCTGCCCAGGAAGGAACCATATTCCACCCGGAGGGTCCATATAGAACCAACTGCCAGTACATTAAACACAACCCTGTGATCCATGGGACATGTAAACACTCTGAAGCATTTAACAGGAAGCCAGCAGGTTACATGGAACCAACAAGTACCATGTAAGCAGCAGACATCACATGTAACCAACCTACAGCATCATTCAATAGGATATATACCCCCACACCTGTAAGGAATTGGTACCAAATCATGTGATCATCACATGGAGCCTTCTCATTACATATAACCATGTAGCCATTTTTGTCATATAACGTGTAATCAAAACACTACACCACCTATGACTAATCACTACAGTGCATTTCCAACACCATGCATGCAACCAGCACCTTAGAGAATAACCGCTGGTACTCAGGTACCACCAGATGCCCTTATATCTGGCATACACATTATCGCTACATACCCGCAACCATATTTTGCAATCAGAACCACCACAAGGGACAGGAAACCCAAATATCAGCTATAGGCAGTGTTCTCATTGACAACGAACCCTTCAGGCCTTCAAGGACAGGCGTGCACCACCCTGGACAGGGTTCTCCCTTCACAGCTCCCAGCATAACCCTGGCTGATGGCAAGACCTCCTCTTATAATCACAGGCCCTTGGGGAAGGATGTTTCAGCACACGGTGTAGGAAGCCCACCCCATGGTGTGTCAGGACCCATACTGGGGACAACAGGAGGTTCAGAAATGTAAACAGCCTCAAGGACCAAGAGGTCTGACAGGCTCATGCTGCACACCTCCTGACACCTAGGCATGGACACGTGCACACGCACAGACACAGCTGCACATGCATAGCAGGACCATGAGGCGGGCAATCCCAGGGCTCCTGGCCTCCTCTCCTGGAACATCCTTCCTGTGTCAGGAACATGGACAGAAGCAGTTTTCATATTCCAAGCCTCTGCCCTAGAGCTCTGGGAATCCTTTCTCCCTATCTGGCCCACAGAAATGTCCACTAGTCCACAGGCCTGGTGGCAATGCATCTTGAACCCCCTAACGATAACACAGGGGCAACCACTCTCAAGCCAGAACCCCAAGGCCACTTTCTTCCACTTGTTCTCAGCCTTAGCTTTCCTATGAAATGGGAGTGCTGTATGCAGCGTTCCTTGAGGCCCCTATGCAGTCTGTGGCCCTAAGCCCTATAGCTTTGGCCCCTCTTCCTGTGTATCTCCTCAGCTCGGACTCTCATTCCCAGCTTCAGCTTTAGGCTTATCTGAGGAGCTGAAAGCTGAGGGAAGGGAATCTGGATTTTCCTAGTATGAGGCTCTTGATTAACTAGAGCCACAATATCAAGGCTGCAACAGGTTAGAAGCAAACGATGCCAAGGACAAGGCTTTCCCTTGCTCACAAAAGGGAGACTCACACACAGGCCAGGTCAGGTAGCAGAGGTGACAATGATGTGGCAGACCACCTTAACACCTCCCTTTGTGCTGGAGATGGCCTCATGTTGCATCTGAGACAAGGGCCAGAGCCTGTTCTCCTATAGCTCAGTCCCACCTAGCTGACCTACTTCCCATCAGAGCCAGCCACCTAGGCTCAGGCCACTTCTTGGCTCTTGGACGGCCCTGCCCTACTTGGTCCCAAGGGGTGGGAACCCTACAACTTCAGCCAGACAGCTTAGAATTCCGCTCCCACCGATCTCAGTCAAGCTGCAGTACACCTAGCTCTTCCTTTCCCTCAACTATCTAAGATGTAGATTGGTCAGGATCATCATAGGGGTGGGTGCACAAGGCTGGGCAGGGGCACCTTGGGAGCAGAGGGATTAACTTACTCTCCTACTCTCCAAACAGCTCAGTAACAAGTCCCTTGACAGAGACACAACAGGCTGGACCCCTTACAGCTTTGTGAACGTGTTAGGTCAGTAGTGGTTTGAGTCTGGTCCCCTGTCATCATGTCCCATCTGTTCTCCTTTTTCCACATTGAAAGGGTCCCTGTCCTAGCTCCAAGGGAGACGATTAGTAGATGAATCCTGAGCATGGGTTCCCCCAGGGAGAAGGGGTTTTGGGAAACCCAAGCCCTTGTTTCAGTTCTCATAAGCAAATGAAGCCCACGACACCCTTCATTTCTATTAGGGGAGAGGGTGGCTATGACCCAGGGACCACAAAGGAGACAGCTAGGACCTGGATACAGGCAAAAGATTTATTCACCGTCTGGGAAAGGGACACTTGCCTGAGCCAGGCCCTGCCAAGGTACTCCTTTCCAAGGGCTTCTTTCCTCTGTCCCACTGCCCTAGTGGGTACCAGTTCCTATTGGGGGTGGGGGGGGGTGGGAGGAGGTGAGGGAGAAAGGTAGATGGCTTCAACTCTAACAGATCCTCCTAGCCCTTGCCCCTTTAGATACTACACATCGGGGCCCTGATTCCTTCCAGCCTGCCCTACCCTGATCCCCTCCATACTCCCCACCCTGCCATACCAGGGCCCTGGGAATAATGGCTCCTCCCTGTCATTCCTCTCGCTAGACTCCCATTTCCAGATCAGTGCCCTGGAGGCCAGGTACCCGCCCGAGGACTTCTACATTGAACTTAGACACCTCAGCCGCCCTGCTGAGCCACACTCACCAGGTTAGACCCCCAGCCCTACCCTCTACCTGCTGGGCTCCCAAGGCTCTCATACCAGACCAGACCTACCCCTTCCTGCCCTTTGACTCACCCCCATGGTCCCAGAACGCTCCGTTGGGCCCTCTTCCTTCCCAACATGGTTAGTCTACAGGCCCAATCCCCTATCTAAAGGAAGCTTGCCTGGATTCATCCCCCATCACCCCTTCTGCTCCCATAGTGGTCAGTGGATGTGGACAAACTGTGACTGGTATTAGGTGAAGGAGACACAGCATAATTGTACTCCCTATAGGCCACAGAATACAACCCTAAACCACTGAGAAATGACTTGAGGATGGGGATACCTTTGGGGTTCTCTGGGCCCTGTGGGTGTAGATGACAAGCCCAATGTCTCCCAGAGAGAGACCCCAGACCCACCAGTGGCTCAGATCAAGCTCTCCCAGATCATAGGGTACGGTTGTCAAGCAGGGATCTGGAGAGGTTGGGGTAGGATGTCAATCGACATCCACTCTGCTCTGTATTAGGCTCAAGCTAGTGGCTTGGGAAAGAAGAAAAAAGGAGACTTGCAAAGTCAATCCTGCTGTGGGACGATCTGGAGTTACAGAAATAGGTGCCATAGGAGTAAGCATAATCAACCAACAGAGAATGTAGCCTTCCTAACAAGTGGCCTCTCTAAGGCAGGGCCTTAGTATACTGGATAACCCTTGGGCTCTAGCTGGTTTCTAGAGCTCAAGGAATGCAGCGCTGCCAATCCCTGCAGGTCCCTGGGTGCAGTAGCACTAAGAAGCATGAAGGTTCTGAATTTATCTGCCCACTGAGGAGCTGTGGGCTGCAAAGACCCTGAGTCTGTACCTAGGAGGCTGTGCTCTTGGCTGCGGGTCCCCTGGGCCATGTCTAGGTCTTTCAATAACTCCACCAAATACAACCCTCAACCTTCCAACCCCCCCCCCAACTACCACCATGCTGTATCTTTCCCCAAGGGAGCATGCTCTGGGCTCAGCCCAGATTTCTCCCTGCTTTCTAGATGTACACTCTCCAGGGTAGCCAGAGCCACCACATGCTATCTTGTGGCTTACACTAAGGCAGGCTGGTGGCCAATGGAAGAGAATACTTGGGGAGATTAGCTTCTAGTTCATGTGGTGTCAGACAAGTCACTGCCCCTCTTTGGGCTTTGGTTTCCTGTCCTAAAAAAAGGAAAAGTTAACAGCCTAGCCTCCCTCCCTCAGGGAGGGTGAAGGAAGCCCTGTCTAGTATAAAAAGCTGAACTGATGCCAGGAATACAAATTGCTAATCATGTTTCTGAAGGGTACAGGTTACCTATAGGCCTTTTAGAAGAATAGCAAACTAGAGGAAAACTTGGACTGGTTCTGCCATATCATTCAGTAATGTGGGGAAGGGAGGCAGGTAAGAATAGGTTTCTACAGATTCAACTTAGGAACTCTGTGGAGGAGGTATGGTATGGGGATGTATCTAAACAGCAGTGGGTTGGCCTTCAGTGTCTCAAACAGGGGAGAGTCAAGTGGAGTGACATTGTATTTTAGTAATTATTTGCTGCATGCCTTGCCTGGTAGTGTGTCCTCAGTTAAAAGCTGAAAAAAAGGGACTCTGAGCCAGAGTCATTACAGTCTCAACCTAAAAATGCCAGACAGCTTCTTTTTTGATATCACCAGCAGCAAAGAACCTGAGCTTGGTCCCTTAAGTATTATTTCCTGCCTCTGGCTATGGCTAAGGACCATGCATTTTAGGAGCTGGATAAACTGTGACAGCCAAAATGGAGAAAAATCCTTCAGATTAAAAACACTAGTAATACTTTTCAAAGACAAGTCTCAATTATGTACAAATGGTCCACTCCCCAAAATGGGTAACTAAGAGAGCAGACTATGGATGGGAGTGACTACATCCTGGAAAGATGACTAATCAAGCCACCGGTCCACCTCCCTCCCTGGCTCCCCTCAGTCGAGCTTCAGATCCAGGAGAGGAGGTAGGACCAGACCTGAGAGGTAAGAAACGGTCTTCAACCCCATTCCAAGATCCAACAGAACTGGGATTTGGAATGTCATACACCTCTTCCCCAAGCTAAGAACTGGCTCTGATTCGTTCCTTATCCTGTACTTTTGGAGCTTGGGACTTCACCTATAGTGACTGCAGGTGGCATCAGAACTGCCTGTATCACCTCATGGAAGACACACCCCTCAGAGTTAAGGTTAAAGAGGAGGAGTGCTGCATATGCCAGGGGGCGCTGTAGCTCACCACTAATGCTTCTGAGCCCTGAAAGAATTCCTGCATCGTCAAAATGATTGAGTAGATTAAACCCAGAATAATCCTCTAGCACTAAAGAACTAATTTTATGGGTAAGGAAGGGGGAAAAAAAAGGCAAGAAAAAATAAAGCAAAAACACATGCAGTCTAAGTAAACGTCACTCACCCCATTTTTCTCTTTATTCTCTTTTAATGCAGGTGCTTGTGGAATGGATAGACGTCAGAACACATACATTATGGACAAAGGCTTCAAAGGTAGAGTATCCAATCCTGACATCCCATTAGAAAGGGCTTAGCAAGATAAAGAGTACAGATGTGAAATGACCAGGAATTCTACCAGAGAGGTGCGCAGTGTCTCTCACTGCCCCCAAAAGTAAAAAGACCACAGGACCTGGGGCTGCTGGGTAGCTCTGCTCAGGAGGAGCAATCATAATAATAATGAATTTATATTTCGATTTAAGTTGCACCTGCTTAGCAAGCGCTTGTGGGTTTTTTATAGATGCCGACTAAATGTCTTCAGAAATGGAGAATGTCATTATCCAACCAATTAGTATGAGTTAAATTGATTATATATTCTGAAATAAAGTCAATCTACCTGCCCCAGAGGCCTCCTGTCGTCGTGCTGGCAAGGACTGCCACCCTGCACCTGCTGGCTTTCTGGGGCACAAGGAATGAAAATTAATACCTAATGTTAATACTGTATGGCACTCCACCCTGGAGATCTCTGCCTCTGAGAGTGGGGAGGTAAGGACTAATCCCAAGCACATGGGAACAGCAAGTTGGATCATCCTTCTAAGAAGTCTGTGAGTGAAACCAAAGATGAAGGTCAGGTCCTGCCCTGGGCTTAGGCCTTACATTTAAATAACAGAATGTATGAAATAGGTGGCTTTGGGACTATGTCACTTATTACTCTGTCAAGTATTAACTGTGCCCTTAGACTGGGAGCTCTCCAAGGCCTAGTTTCCTCATCTGCAAGGTTGGGATAATTATGCCTATCCTAGTGTCCAATAAGGTTATCCTGAGTATTCAGTAAAAATCAGAGATGGGAAGTGTTTTTGCATATTGTAAAAGATTGTACTAATGTAATAGGGCTGTCCTTTTGTCTCTGAGGTCTATTTAGGAGTCTCAGCCACACTGAAAGAGACGACGGACAGCAAAGATCCCAATGGCTATCATAGATCTAGCTGTGCACCAGAATCACCTGGAAAGCCTGTTAAACATACAGAGGTCCACATCCCATCTTCCCAAGACTCTGAAGCAGTGTATCTAGAGTGGGGTCCTGGAATCTGCATTTGTAATGAGTACTTCAGGGCATTCTTAGGTCTAGACTGACCCAGATTTCCTGGATTACTGTTCTTTCAGACTTAGCCCTTGGTGGAGTGGTTATTAAAGGTGGGGTGAGCTAGGGGTGGGTTTTTCTGAGCAAGAGAGCAGGAAGGGCAAGTCTCCATGAACACGTTAGGATGTATACAGCTCAAGAGAACAATCTGAAAACAGGAGGTCACCCCTCAGCTTCTGGTCAGCCAAAGTTCACTACTCCCTTGGGAGCATCAATTCTGGCCATTTTCTGCGTACTGACTCAAACCATCCACATGGAGGCAAGCACCATTACAGTAGTGAAGCTAAAAACAGAAAAGAAAGCTTTACTGTTTTTATCACTGTGACCTGAGACCTGTTTCTTTCTCAAAGAGGAGTGGGGACTGGGCAGAAAGATCTCTTAAATAAGAGACTTTCTAGCTCCGAAAATATGCATGACTCAAGAATGAATAAGCTCAGACAGGCCCAAACAGCTCAATTAATGAGCACACAACTTTCCTATGCACTTTGTTGTGCTGTGCATTGTGATTAGGGTAACTGCTTTCAGACTCGAAACCATAAATGTATATATAACAAAGCTAAGGAGGGCAGTGTCTCTGCCTCAGTGTCATTCATTCCTGTTTTGTGGGATCATGTGTCTGAGCCTGAGTGCAGGAAGGCCAGATTTTGCAGCCAGATTTTGTCTCACCACTCTGGCTATAATCATCCTTTAGAGAAAAGAAGGCTGCCCAGGTAAATATGCCAACGGGTGCTGGGAACCAACACATCAGAACAAGAGAATTCAAGAACAGGAAAATGAAATGTCACGGTTTGGAACTTTACAGAAATATTTATCAAAGACATGGAAAAAACCCCACTAACTGAACTCCCAAATAAACATTTAATAAACTAGTCTGTACCAGGAATGAAATTATTTCCTAAAACTGCTGGGCCAAACCAAATGAGAACCATTAAGAGTGAAGAGTCTTGAGTGTTCTCTGAACTCAGTGGTCTCAAGACCCTAGCCTGGAAGTTTTGGATTCTGGTCCTAGTTCTTACTGTGTGGCACTGACTAGGTCACACTGTTATTTTCTGCGCTTGGTTTTTCTACCTCCCTTAGAACGATGAGGTGGTACTAGCACTCTCTCTAAGGCCTCTCTAATTCAGCCAGTGCTCCTTCTTGCCCTCGGTACTTACTTTAGACCTCCGCTGACTGTCATCCTGAAGTTACACGACACCACACATTGCTCGCTGTGCTAATCGCATTTTACCTCTAAACACCTATCCATCTCCCCTTCCCCTTCTCCCCCTCAACACAATGATACTGTAACAAACTGTCTATGTTTAATTCCTTGTCTGTCAGGCATTTCAAAGTGCTACAGAAGAAATCCTCCCTGGCACTCTCCATCACCTTTATGATCCTGAAATCCTGAATCCCACTGTTGCTGCCAAAGGGAAGCCACCTGTATGCTCCTTGCTAATCCAGCCTCCACGTGCCTCCTTGCAGTAACTTTGGGTTCCAAGGTAGTGAGGAGTCCAGTGACATCCTGAAAACTTTTTTTAGCCAGTGTGGTTCTCCTTCTGACCGTGAAATCTCCCCTTTCTTCTCCCCATATCCTTGTCTCTCAAGGAAAAGAGTGCTAACTTGGGGCCCAGGAATAGAAAAGGCAGTGTGGCTTTCTAATAATAGTAATAGGCTGAGAAGAAACATGTTCAGTGCTCGGGTTTTCCCCAAGGGTGAAATACTGACTTTACCTAGACGTTCGTGTGAACCTAAAAGCCTAGGTAAGTTCCAATCCCACTCACAGGGTGGCCTTGGATAGTCATTTCCCCTCTCTGGATTTGCTGCTTCGTTTATAAAATGAAGGTGTTTAGGCTCATTTCCAAGGCCCCTTCTGCATTTGAGGGTGTAAGACTGTGTGATTTGGAAGAGGTAGGAACTAGCTGAGAATGAATACCAAGGCATTATAAGGCTAAGCCTTCAGTCCTGATGCTAATAACAGGCCTTGGAGGAGTGACTCTCCAAAGCTTAGGTAGCCTTGGTTGACGCTTCCCCTTTCTTTGCAAAATGCCCTGAAGTGCAGGGACTGGCTGGGGTAGGGTGGGGCTGTAAAAGGATGAGGAAGTGTCTTAGAGAGACTGGTTGCTCTTCCCCTTACCCCACCCTCCCTGAGGGCAGGCAGGTAGATGACTCAGCAGGAGGAGAGAAGAATAGCTTTCTGAAGTGTAAATTTTCCAGCGGGCCTTGCCCTTTCCTCCCGTCAGTTCCCAAAAATAGAATCCAGATTATCTATAATCCAACACCCCCTTCCGACCACCTCAACCTACACATAACACTTCTCCATCCTTTCTTTCCCTCTGGCCCCTTTAAATAAGGAAGGTACATCTTCCCCTGAGATGAATCCCCTCCCCCAACCCCAACTTCTCTTTTATTCACAGAGATGCATCCCCTGCTGCACAGCAAACTATTTGCAGTAGCCCTCTTATCCGCAGTTTCAGTTACTAAGCTCCCCGCTCCCCCCTTCCCCCGTCACATGATCAAGGTCAATAGTGGCCTGTCACAATGCCTACCTAGGTCATTCACCCCATTTCACCATCTCACATCATCACAAGAAGGGTGAGTATAGTACCATAAAATATTTTGAGACCTCATTTATGTAACATCTATTACATTATCCTGTTATAATTGTTCTATTAGTTATTGTGGTTAATCTCTTAGTGTGACTGAGTTATAAATTAAACTTTAGCGTAGGTATGTACGCATATACGCATTAAGAAAAAACAATATATCGAGGGTTCAGTATTATCTGTGGTTTCAGGCATCCACTGGGGGTCTTGGAAAGTATCCCTGTGGATTGGTGGGGGTGGGGAGACTGCTGTATACCCCTAAACTTAAAGGCAGCCTTGACTTTTCTGGTGGAAATAAGAGGGATACTACTACTGGCTGACTGAGGCTCTGTTAGGCTTTGAGCCACAGCTTCAAGACTCTGCCACTGCCGTTACTGAATCAATCATGGGATATCTACAAAAAGCTTAGAGCTTGGCCTTTCTCTGTCAGCAGGGCTTGGCCCCACTGATAAAAGGTATTCCTTGCTGAAGGTAAGGTGAAGCTGTTGCAGCTGTAGTTTGCATTCAGAGATCTAGAACAGGAGGACGGGTAGTAAGATGCAAGTGGAAAACATCATGACTGGATACCGGAGATTATGGGTTGAGCCCTAACTATTTACTAACATTAGGTGAACTTTATGAGCTTCAGTATCCTCCTTTCTAAAGCAGTAATCATAGTCCCTCCTGCCCAGCCCTCTCCACAAATTAAGTTTCAAATGACCTAACCGGAGTGAAGATACTAGCGTAAGGACTACATTTTCTATCACCATTCCTCAAGTTTTAAGAAAACATGCAGCTAAGGTAGCCGCCAATCAAAGTAAAAGGATGTGCCTGGGTGGGGAGGAGAGGAGGGTGTTATAGAGGACTTTTCACTCAGATGATAGCCCTTCTGTAAGCAGTTCTAGTCCTCAGCTTCCAAACCAGCAGCTCCGAGTCATACTGCCTTACACTTTGGCTGCCAAGTTTAGAGAACCCAAGGTGGGACCGATGGACCATGCTGAGGTTCCTGGACATACCCCCAGCCCCTTGTACTAAGAAACAAAGTACTCACTAGAAACAACTTCATGTGGCTCTGGGCAGACTGTGGCCCAGGACCCACATCCCCCTTTCCTCATGAAAGCCTCACCAGCAGCTGGGCCTGCTCATTGTCCAGCAAGAATGTTTTCTCCTACCCCTCTCTAGGGTTCTATGCTAGAAAGAGGCCACAATCTCAGATGGGACCAAGGCCAACATCTCTCTCTACCTGTGGGCCAGGATGAGATGGAAAAGGCTCTGAGCCTGGTTGTGGAGCGCACTCTGCCACTGACAGCAGTGTGACCTGGGGAGGTCACTTCCTCATGCCAAGCTACGGTTTCCTCATAAGCAGTTAGAAGGGAAGGAGAGAATTAATTATTGCTCTAGCTACATCGCAGGTATTAGGAACACCTGAACGGACTAATGGGTAAATGTACTTTTGTACAAGATTAAAGAAATGTTACCTGCTGAAACAAACATCAGTAACCCTATACTCAGAATTCTAAGTAAATCCCCTCCCAGCCAGTCACCTGTTACGGAAGAAAACACTGCTAGTGGTCACACACAACTCAACTTTCAGCCACATGGAGTGTTCTGCTCTCCCAGGACCTACTCACCCCTTGAGTTACAATGATCCCTTTATTATTATTATTTTTTTTTTACATTTTCATTAATCTCACAAGCAGGAGGCAGAGAGCATGTGATGGTTCTAGTGGAAGACTGTCCAAGAATTTCACCATCTGCTACCACTTAAGAGAAATTTAGAGCTGAGAAATATAGAAATTTCACCATCTGCTACCACTTAGAGAAATTTAGACCTCTGAAGACCACTCATTACTGTAGAGCCCCTACAATTCCATGCTTATTTCTAGACCCCCTGGCTGGCAGATTGTCACAGAAGAATGAGGGCCAGAGTTGGCCAGATTACAGAGAATCTGGTGCTTTTTTCAGGCAAGTCTTGCCTCACTTGGAATGATCTATAAGAACCAGTGATCTTCCCAAAAGGGGAAAATGGCATAGAAGCTGAAGGAGGGGCTCCCCTTCCCTTCTGTGACTCCCAGTCCCAAAGAAAACACTTTCTTCCTCCAGTGAGCTACAGTTACTTTGCCTCGTACTTGGAGACTAGTCTGCATTCTTTTGTACCCCAACGTACCCTGAAGTCTTGGGGAAGATGCACCTGAGAGGCAGCAGGAAAAGAAGCATGAGTTCTCCTAGTATCAGAAAAAGATACTGCTAAAATTGGTTTCAGTTGGCATTCATAAGTACTGAGATGAGTGTCCTCAGAGGATACATTGGAAGGCTTACTAGAAAACAGGAACTTTCCAAAGGCCAGCCTGAGACCCAGGTGCTTTTTACACCTCAATTACACTTCAGTCTGCCCCACCTCTGATCACAAGCTTCTCAAGAGCAGGGACGCCGCCAAAATTTGCTGCCTAAAGGTTGCCAAGTTGCTGACACCTGTGCCAAAACACACACCTACTTCTTTTGAATCTAAATTTCTTACTCATCAAAAAGAATTCAGAGGAAGAATGATATCACAGAACAAACACAGGCCAAGGAGTCCCAAGGCATGCATTCAAGCCTTGGCACTGTCATGTATGAGCTTATAGGACATTAGCCAAGTCACTTCATCTCTCTGGGCCTTCATCCTATAAAATGCAAAGTATCATCTTTGCAGGATTTTATAAAAATTAAATAATAGATGTGAAAGCACATTGTGAAAGCACATTGAGTATTTTTTTTTTTTTTAATTTATTTGACAGAGAGAGACAGTGAGAGCAGGAACACAAGCAGGGGGAGTGGGAGAGGGAGAAGCAGGCTTCCCGCCGAGCAGGAAGCCCGATGCGGGACTCGATCCCAGGACTCTGGGATCATGACCTGAGCCGAAGGCAGACGCTTAACGACTGAGCCACCCAGGCGCCCCTATGAGTATCTTGAATCAATCCCCTTCTGGTTCTGAACCTGACTACTAAGAACAAAAATGTCCCTATCCCTCCAAAAACATAAGTTTCTTTATGAAAAGAACTCCGCCTACCTAGGAAAGCACCCTTCAACATATTTAAGAAGGAAATCTTGGATTATTATAGGCTTTTACAGATCCAGGATCCTGATGGCACATAAACTGCAATCTGTTTCTGGTACTGAAATTAAGTCTGTGTCCTTGCGTGTCCTAAGAAATCTCTCTTGCCTTACAGATTACATGAAAGAATCCGTGTGCAGTTCTAGCACTTGTTCCTTGAATAGCAGTGAAAACCCTTACGCCACAATTAAGGACCCACCCATTCTCACCTGCAAGCTTCCAGAAAGCAGCTATGTAGAAATGAAGTCGCCTATGCACAGGGGGTCTCCGTACACAGATATGCCATCCTTGTCGACATCTAATAAAAATATATATGAAGTTGGTAGGTGTCTCAAATAAGTAACTTAGTGAAATCAGGGCAATAGTGCAGCATCTGAAATAAAAACAAGCCCTCTCCACTCACCCTGTCTTGAAAACACACCCTTCTTTTGTTGCTTTTTAAGGAATCCAAGGTGAACGGTCTTTCCCAGGATTACCCTCCTCTCTCATGCAGGAAATCAAATTCTCATGTCAACTCTGCTTTAAAAAAAATACCAGGACTACTATGAAGCAGAAATGCTGGGGGTGGAGAATCAGTGGGTATACACACCTCAAGTGATTCAATCAGAACAGACGTGCAAGTTTCTAAACCACCGTCTTCGACCTTCTCCCAGTTTCCCCTATGTCCCTGGACTTACTGATAAGATCCAGACCTCTTGGTTTTGACCAGAGCTTGGGATTCTAATAGTACACTCACTTAGATTCTCCATTTCGTGAGCAAGCCTCAATCCTAACCCTCATATATTTATCAAAGATTTATAAAGCCCTGGCTTCTCTCCCTAGCAAGTTAAATAGAACTCTATTCCCCTCAACAAGGCAACCAAAGCTAATCTGTTCTCTGAACTCATTTTTCACTATATTCCTTAGAGCCCACAATCAGTGTGGTCCAAGAAGGCCGCGGTCATAACTCCAGCTATATCCAGAATCCATACGACCTACCTAGGAACAGCCATATTCCTGGTCATTATGACCTCCTCCCAGTAAGACAAAGCCCTGCCAATGGGCCCTCCCAGGACAAGCAGTCTTAAGAGAGAGAAGCCTCTCTCTTGCAATGTGTTCTGCTGAATATTCTGACTCTGAAAGAAGACAATCCCTTGACTCGAAATAATGATACAGACTGACTCCAGCTGCGTGTTAGTCATTACTTTCACCTGGAACTAAAGAAGAGCTTCCAAGTGGGACTGGGGTAATTATTCAAACGGTCTGTTCACAAAGGCAAATCCTATCACTCACCCACACCCAACCCCAAATGCCCAGGATTACATGATCTTTTAAAAACACTTAAGATCCAGCTACTCATCAACATCAGCTAAATATATATATTGAGATACGTAATTCTCTGAAACATGATGCTTAGAAAGCATATAGCATAGGTTTCACAAACCTTCCTGGGGCAAAAGGGAACTGGGGAGGGGAAAGGATTCAAGATCCCGAAATGTATGTGCTTTTGGTTGCTGTTACCCTCAACATGTTTTATTACCTAAGATAAATAGCACACAAACTGTGCTAATATCAATCCTAAAGTACCTGTACATCTATGTCTGACCTGTCAAATCACAACAGCCAAGATTATAGTATACAGTCTAATACTGACAACTTCAATTTTTAAAAATTAAGACTTTAATAAATACAAATTAACTTTCCCTCTTCTGCCCTTCATGGTAGTATGAGGAGAAGTTTCCAAAGCGCAGCAGCCTCTTTCAGTCTATAATGATTTCTAGGCCAGCTTTACCAAATCTTGCTGATTCAAAGTTTGAGAACACAGCCAAGTCATTCCTAGCCTGGTCATAGCTCCTCAATCCATCCAACACCTGAGTCATTCCATGTGAAACAGAACTCTGAGATGATGCCTTTAAGCAAGCAGTCACAGACTGGTAAGAATGAAGTATCCCTAAAAGGCCTCCCAAATTTATTTGATTGGCATCCCTTGACTCAGAAAAGTACTTGCTTTTATGCATTTCTTCATGTATCTTGAGCTTGATGTAGAATACAACCTAAAAGTGTAGAAGAAATTAGATAAAAGTGGATATAGCAAGTTTAATAAGCTGCTTAAATTACATGATACTTTTTGATGGAACCAAATGAAAAGAATGGACTGTAATCAGTTGCTGTAACATGATATAAAACTTTACAGTAAACAGCAAGTAAGGATATGAAGTACTTCTACCTTAAAACCACCACCTACTGAAATGGCCAAAAACATATTACAATGAGCTAATGCTCCAGATCCCAGTATTTAGACGTGTCTGTACCTTCCACGACTAACCAGGTAAACTGGGGCTCAGTTTGAGTCAAACTGGAGCCAACTCCCAAGCCCTAAAAAAGAGGACCTCCTCACAAGAATTAAAGACCAGAAGGGCAAACCGAGGAAACTAATGGCCACCCCTACACCACTCCATTCTCTGGTAACAGCCAGCCAGTAAAAAATACTTCCAAAAAGGTAAACAGAAGAGGAACTAAATGACTGCAAAGATGGAATAGCAGCTACAGGAAGTGTGGGAGTCCTGAAGCCCTTGATACAACCTGGAAGTCTGCCATGGAACCCATTAGTTGGGGCAATGACCAGCAAAAGCAAGAAAATAAACAAGTAAATCCCCCTCCCTCACTTCACTCACAGCTTAAGCAAATTTTATTGTTAGGGGAAAACATAGAATACTTACGTGAATGCTGCATGTGTGCATGGGAGCAAGTGATCAGCAATAGCAAATTTCCTTTCCACAAAAGCCTTATGAAATATAAATAATAGAAAATTCCTTTGTAGACCCAAGTAAATATTTCTCATACATATGTAGAAAGAAATAGATAAGAGACTTACCTCAGTATTTCAGGGCAGCAAGTGCTCAATTATCTTTGTAAAGCAAGGATCAAGAAGCATGGCGAAGTCAGATGAGCCAGGAGAAACTTCATCTCAATCCCAGGCTTTATCTTCTTCCCCTACCCTTCATGTACAGTAATTGCTGCCTGGCACACTGCAAACAAGCAGCATCATGCCAGTTTCAAGTGTCGCCTCTTGTTTGCCAACTATCTTATGGGCAAAATTCAGCAAGAGGGAGCATGGTGGAACTGCTAAAGCATGGGGTCAAGAGATTTGAGTGTTACTTGCCCTCTCTGGGCTCCTTTCTTCCTCACGTATTAAAAAGGGGAGAAGGAGAGAGAGGGAAGAAGCTCTAACAACCCTCTGGCCCTAGCATTCTATGACTGTTAAAGAAATATAATACAATTCAAATTAGGCAATACAGAGAAGGGAAAGGCAGAGGGTGTGATTCATCTCTGGTGACAACAGCTGCCTTCACAGATCTAAGAGTTACTGGTAAAAGACATTTCAATCTTACAGAGCAACTGTTAGGAACTTCTGTCTAGCACTGTCACACATAGGTTCATGGTCAACCTAAATATGTGTCTGTGCATTTTGTTGGCAACTTGGAAAGATCTGTTTATTTTACAGAAACCAGTTTTCACTCAAAGTAATTTGCATTCAATTCAAATGAATAAAGAAAACACTATTATTGTACAATAGCATAAGTGAGACTATGAAATGGCAATACTTTTTTAAATAACCCAGATTTGTAATATATTTGTTCACTGTGCAAAGGGACCATACCTTGTACAAAATAAAAGGAATTTCTCAAACTAATTTAACAAGAATGCCTACTGTTGTGTTGCACATTGAAAATGTGTCTATAATCTACAACTTAGGTTTAAAAGGTAGAACTAAACTACATTTTGTGTGGTCACTTTAGGCAGCCAGAGAAGTGAAAATTATCCCAACAGATACTTGAAAATAAAGTGAACAAGTTCTATCATATTTATAACAAGAGTCTCTTCCTTTAATGAATGGGATCAACATACTCTTATTCATGTCTAAAAATTATTGAAAAATCTCATACACATCAAATGCTCAAATAGAGAATTTCTCTGCTTTCACAAAGATTTAAACTCAAAGGCAACTATTACAGCCTGTGCTCCGCTCCAGAGGCACAAAGGTACTTCTATGGAATGGAATAAAAGCAAGTGATGGGCCACCTAATTTGCATAAGTGCAATAAATAGCTCTCCACTAGTAGAAGTTATCACCCAGTACGTTACTGTGGGTGCATGCTTTAGGACCTTTTAAAACATAACCCTGTGACCTCACTGGTAAAGAAGCAGCAGGATTAATTTTATAGTAAAACATGGATGCTAAAAAAATAGCTTACTGGATGCTTTCAAAAGTGAAGTTTAAAATTCTTCCTTCATACTTTCAAAGTTTGTACATAATCCTATTTAAGTCAACCTAAGCCTTTCAACTTGTCAGTTCACAAAGCTTACATGACACTCAAGTTATTCCCAATGTTTAACCAAGAATAATACATTTTTGTTAGAGACTAAGACTCATTCTGAAATTATCTTACTAAGACAATTCTCAAGGGCTGGAGCTTGACATCTCAGTGAAAGACAAAACATGATCAAGAGTTATAAGGCTAACAAAGGTGTTTACTGAGAATAGTGGTATTAGATTATGACTCATGAGGCTCAGATTACTACCCAATACCATAAAGGATAACCAAAGGCTGCAGGTTATGCACTCAACACAGAAGATTCAAGAATGATACATTCTACGAGCCATTCATCTAACCAGAAGGCCGGCAAAAGAGGCCCATTTAATCAGTATGTGACAACAGGAGACAGACTCTTTCTCAGAAGGGATGGATGGATACACAGGGATTCATTACACTGTCATTTGTACTTCTATATAATTATTATATAGCATTTATATAATCATTTTATATAACTTTTAATTAAAGTATTTTTTAGTCTGAATGGTAGTTCTCAAGACTATAGCTCCCCAAGCTAGACTAGAATGAATCCTAGCATTAGCCCCCTCACTCTTTTAGATGTTCCTTCTTTATTGTTCTGACATGGAATAGCAGGGGGGATAGGTATTAGGAATGTAAATATGAACAAAGAACATTCCCACGCTTATGGATCTTACAATTTAGCAATTACAAAAGGGCAGAGATAAATGCAGGGCCCTAGTGATTAGTAGGGTACTGATTATACATTTTCTTCCCTGACTTGCAGAGCTAGAAGGACTCGGACTCCAATCCAAACCCACAGAAGGCGGAAGCCCTATCTGTAGCGATGGGTTGTCAGATTCCTTCCTCAATTCCAGCTTCTACTTCCCAAGCCATTGTCTAGCCGAGCAGATGGCATGGCCTTCCAGAGCCTTGGAGAGGAGAAAGCACAGGGACTGGAAATCTTAAAAATCCTATTATTTAGGAATCCACTTAAATGTAAACCAAAACCAGTAACTGATGATCCTAACAGATCCTGCATTGTGGGGTTCATATCAAAGATAGTCTGCAGAAATAGTATTGCTTCCTGGGGCTTTCCAGACTGTCCCATTTCAGGCATAACCTTCTATAATATTCTTAGGGCCATATGATGATATGCTTTGGCATAGAGACTAATACGATGGTCAGCACTTCTTAAAGACAAGGATCTGTCACTTCCCTAGAGAGATCTGAGAAAATGGTACCCTGAGACTGGAATTTGTCAAGGGAAATGAATCTGAAAGCAATACACTTACTCACTGGGATGGGAATAACAGGCAAGTTAAGTTCCACTGACTCAAACAGAGAAAAGGAATCCTACTGGCTACTAATTTTCACTACCATCACTGGTACTGGTAACGTATAGTAGTTAACAGCAAATATATAGGACATCTGTGCTGGGACCTATCAATAATGATGTTAAATAACTGATTTCAAATCATCAGACTACTAAACTAACAGCCAAATAATGCCATTTATATCGTGTGTATTTTGCCACAAAAACCTATACACTTGGATTTAATCACTGGTTCTCTCGGACAGCTAGCTCTATGGACTGCTCTACCTTCTTATAGATGCCTGTAAGAGATGATAGTAAAAAATTAAACACAAGATATTTTTAAAAGTTCTCTCACCCAGACACGAATATATTTTAAAAGTATATATTAAAAGCCAGCAGGATTTTAACAATAAAAGCCAAAACAAGCAGTTCTCAATTTACAGTTGACATAGCAGCCCCTCAAGTGCTCCTCCCCCGCAAGCATGATACTTCGATGCATACTGTTGAAAATGACAGTCATTTTGCAAATGTTCTAAAATCTTTCATCTTATGGAATGAGGTTAACATGGAAATAGTAACATTTTAATCAAGTTATAAGACCAAAAACATTTTGCAAAGTGATTTTTAATTATCTATTAAACTTGAGTTCAAATGTGTAATAATTTGGCTCTAGTACCTGAAGAGTTCGTTCATAAAATTGCTTAATTGGAGCTGGGATGAACCCCAGAAATAATCTAACCCATTCCCCTAACTGGAAGAAGGTGAGGCTCAGAGAAAATGACTAGAAGATCTGTGACTAGAATCCAAGTCTTTGTCACCCAAACCACTCTTCTATTATACGTGCCACTTTCAATCTAACTCAAATAGTTTAGTGTACTTTCTAATATATGCCTAGTATCAATGTCCTTTCAGATATTCTTTCTCTATCCTCCAATTCAATTTTCAATGAAATGGATGCTTCAATTAAAATGATCTCAGCCTATGATCTCCTTTACAGAAGCTGCAATGACATTTTATATAACTTTATTGTTACCCTTGGCCTCCTATAGTTTGGGGAAATACAACCATTCTTTAAAACATTCCAATGACAACTTCAGTTTATTTAGCGTATCCTTTAGGTGAGTGGGAAAAGTGACCTATCAAATCCCAGCAAGCGTGTGGTACCAGCACCAACCCAACCAAGGTAACAAAAATCAGCCCTCCTCTTTTTAGCACTAGCCTATTATGCTATCCCATTAAAGCATGTGATAGAAGAGGATCCTTTCATGGTCTTTGTTTTTTTTTCCCCCCATACAGGGAATACATGCCATGCAAAATCCTTATACAAAATTCATAATTTGTGGGCACCTGGGTGGCTCAGTTGGTTAAGCGACTGCCTTCGGCTCAGGTCATGATCCTGGAGTCCCGGGATCGAGTCCGGCATCGGGCTCCCTGCTCAGCAGGGAGTCTGCTTCTCCCTCTGACCCTCTTCCTTCTCGTGCTCTCTCTCTCTCATTCTCTCTCTCAAATAAATACATAAAATCTTAAAAAAAAAATTTCATAATTTGTTTTGCATTTTCTTCAGGTTTAAAATGTTTGTGAGACATCAAATAACCAATCTCTATTTTTTTCCTGTGTTTAAAAAACAAAAACAAACAAAACTCCGTAAATTGAAACCTAACAGGCTGGAATAAGTTCTTAATATCAACCCAGGCTTTAAATTATTCTGCTTCTGGTATTGGCCAAAACGGCCTAAACAGTTTTTTTCTCTTTAAGGTAGATGGAAGAAATTATGACAATATTCAAACCATTGAGAGCATTTGTATTTTGTAAATACAAGTCAATGAAGACAAAATTAAAATGTCCATTTTCCCACTGATACAATAAATAGGACAAGCTCTGATGGACAATCTAAACTCAAGAGGTCTAACTTTTCTGCAGAACCTTTCAGAACTTAAAACCGCTGGCCTAAGTCACCAGCTAGCACCCCTTCTTAGAATTAGAATTTAGCATACACAATGCAATGGCTAATGATAACTTACCCCTACAGAGTTGTAACTACTATTATTAAAGAAAAATCATAGATAGCACTTGAGACCAATGACATGTTTAAAACAAGTCAAGATGGCTAACTGGCTTTTCAGAATAGGTTAAAAAAAAATTCAGTTAAAATGACTGAAAAGCAGGGTCAAGCAGCAAAACACTTCTAAACTACCTTGAGCCCTACATTGTCATATTTTAAAACTTAATGTTTCTTACTTGAGACAGTTTGTCTCCTGAGATACTATTCAGAATGAAAACACTGTTAAGATGCAATCAAAGACATTTTCTACTACTACTTAAAGGGTTCTTGGAATTCTCCCAAGATCCAACCATGCCCACAGCAACATTAAGTCTATACTTGATAAAAATTCAAAGTTACTCATTTTCACCACCTAGAGTTTCCTTCTCTTAAATAATTTTGTGAAAGATTTACTACCGATTTCGAGTAAAAGCCTCTTCCCGGGTCTGGTGACACTGTTACATATGAAAGTACAAAGATTACTTCCTTAATGTTTTTGGTGATACTTTTTCCAAGAAAAGCATAATTGAAACGTATGTCTAAAATCAAAGCTGAATTCACACAATGATGCCTCCAATTTAGTGTTTACTCTGTAATACAAGGACCTATGCTCTTACTCATCAGAATCAAATATTCCATGGCTGCATCCAAAGCACTCAAAGGAAAAATGTAATCTGACAACATAAAGAATAGTCCCCCTATAACTGTTTATTAGAATGTGAATATATTCCAAATCAATAACTAAAAAATAAAATAAAAATAAAAATAAATCAAGTTACAGAGCATGCATAAAATACAAAGTAGCGATTTACAAATAGATAATAGTATCTTCATAACCAACCAACACTCTAATAAATGGCTACAGAAGAAAACCAAAAGACTGACCACAGCAATGCCTTCTGTGTGCCCCACACGACATGTGCCCCACACGTCATGAGCACCGCAAAAGACAGATTAACTATGAAACATAGTAATCTATGCAAGCCCAAACACATATATTTTTGTACTGGGGGGATATTCCACCATCCTGAATAGTATCAATTCAGTCGACACAACTTTCAGAACACTGCAGAGTAAGTGCTTAATATTATCCACAATAAAGTAAAACTCAGTATTAGTGTGCACATTTCTAAATGGGAAACTAGTCGCTCCACTGATTTCAATAATGTAGTGGGGAAAAAGTAGTTCAGGTTTGTATAATGCCTAAATGCATTCTATTTAAACTCAAGGTACTACGTACTAAAATACATGCCTTTAAGTGGTACCACTTGAGCAGAAATTAACCTCTCACTATATTCCTTAGACATACTGAAACCAGATATTTAACTAGACTGTATTCCATAATATACTGCAAAACTCAAAAATCAGCATAGTTAAAATAATTATCCATGCCTGCTGATAGTTACGGTGATAAAACTAGGTTGCATTTCATTTACTGGAAGGTTTTAAGACAAAATTAACACTTCACAATTTGATACTAACAGCATTAAACCAGTTATTGCCTGAGCAATAAAATGCCACATATCTACTGCTGGGAAATTAGGAGTTCAATGATTTGGGCTGCCTGATCATTGCAACAGAGGCATCTCAGATGGAATTCCACCAGTCTCTCAAGTTCCCAGCCTGCCAGGCAGCATTGTTGAACATATGGCTCCATAACCACACTGCTACTGAAACCATAAACAGTCTTTTGTTTATTAAGATAATTCTTATCCAGAAAAAAGTGTCCCCCTCTCTAATCAACTTTGACGCTTACAAAAATTAAAAGACAAAATTTACTAAACTACTTAACCTTATTAAGGCATTTTTAGAAATTGACTTCCAGAATAATGGAAAATTTTCAAGCTCTCAAAATCCTGCTATGTTTATAGGGCAATTCTTAGATTTGTGGAAATATACACTGCATTGAGAGAAGAGTGTATGAATTATTAGCTGCTCATTATAAGCTGTTCTGTGGCAAAATGATAGCTCATTTCTTCTAAAGTCTTCTTAGTTTGATTTGATCAAGACCAATAGGTCTGAGCTTCAAGTGATTAAGTTCTAGTATGTCCTACAGTGACAGGCTTCCATGATGAAAAGTAAACAGTAAATGAGGAATCCAAACATTCAGTTTATTAAACTAAGGCTAGTGAAGCCATAGCATGAAAAAAAGCTGCAGTCATTCGGGACAAGTGGATGATTTTATAAAGCTAAAATCAAAAGACTTAAGACATGGAAAAATTCATAAGTATGAGGAAGTAATAAAACACAAAGTGACCACAAGAATTACAAATATATTTAAATCTCAGACCTGGGAAATGGACTATACACAGCCTTCTAGGGGAGAAGAGAAACGCCTTAAATGTTCTGACAGCACTGCACCTTTGGCTTGTTTTCAGTGGTTGGTGGAACATGAATAGGAACCACATTGTTGCTTGGAGACATGTCATTTTCACGTCTGTCTGACATTTGCTTCTGGGAAACAATGCGGTATATCTCTGGGGGAAAAAAAACCAGCAATACTCACTGTGAATAGACACTTTAGTAGCTGATATAGTAGTACACAGAAGTAGAAAATAGATTTGCAGAAAAAGACTGCAAATAAACTTGGACAAAGAATGTATAAATGTAGGGGCGCCTGGGTGGCTCAGTCGTTAAGCATCTGCCTTCAGCTCAGGTCATGATCCCAGGGTCCTGGAGGGGGAGAAGCAGGCTGGGGGCTCCCCGCTCCGTGGGAAGCCTGCTTCTCCCCCTCCCACTCTCCCTGCTTGTGTTCCCTCTCTCGTTGTGTCTCTCTCTGTCAAATAAACAAAATCTTTAAAAAAAAAAAAAAAGAATGTATAAATGTAAAGTTTTATTTTCAAATAGCCACTGAATAGAAGAATGGTAAGAAGAGAAAAAAAGTTTTCCATTTCAGAGAGAAAGGTTCACCAATTAAATAAATTGGTTTAAAGAGAGTACATAGTTTATGGGATTAGATCTAAATTAAACCATGAGAAAAAATAAATAAAAATTAAACCATGAGAGTATTTTCAGTCTACCCTTGTCAAAAAACCCTACATACATTGATACTGTACCACAGAAAAATAAAAATAAATCTGCACTATGAGATACATTAGTATTTTTCCTGGCTGTGTAGGGAAGAGCACAACTTCATAAATATTCCAAAATCCCAAAGTACTCTTGAAAAAGGAGGGAAAGATAATGTTTATCAATGCCTCCTGAACTAAAGCTAAATTGTAATTAAATAGTTATTAACCAGGAACTTTAAGATTTTCTGACACTCATCAAAACTAACTGTAAAAAACCAAAAAACAAAAACTGTTGTCTACCTCTTCCACTAAACATTAATCTCTGTAAAGACAAGCACTGTGTCTACCTTATTCAGTTCTTTTTCTCCAGCATATGACTTATAGTAGGGGTGTGATAAGTAACTAGTTGGTCCAATAAATGTTATTAAATTCCTCTACACCAAGTATCTTTACTTAACTCATTTTATTTTATTTATTTATATATATTTCACTGCCTAAAAGGGTTTCCCTCTGACTCAATTATAGACTCCTTACAAACAGAAAAATGTATCTTATTTATCTTTATTCTCCCAGTTCTCCCTCAAAAAAAAACCAAAAACCTCAAAGGGTAAGAGAATTCTAAAAATGGGACAAATTGACATCATGTGCCTCCTATTATGATGTACTATGAAAGACACACTGTATTCCTATGATGAATACCTATGTATTCCTGCCAAAAATGTTTAAAATGAATTTATCCTAAGAAAACAACTAGATAAATCCAGATTGAGGGACATTCTACAAAAAAACTAGCCAAGAGTCTTCAAAAAACTTATTGTTATAAAAATACATTTAAAAGATGGGACGTAAATATTCTACAGCTATAGTGTCCAATACAGTACTCACATATTTAAATTAAATTTAAAATCCAATTCCTCAGTCCACTAGCCATATTTCAAGCATTCAATAACAACTTGTGCCCAACAGCTACTCTATTTAATAATACCCCAGATATAAAACAATTCTGTCAATGTGTGACCCTTGGCTGAACATTTAAAATGTAAAAACCAAATCTATAAAGAATTATTAGTACACTTGGAGAAATAGGAATATGAACTGCACATTAGCTAATACCATATAAACATCAATTTCTTAAATATGATATATGGTATTGTGATTATACAGAATGCCTTGTACTTAGGAGCTAAAATGCTTCAGTATTTACTTGTAAAGTGCCACAATGTCTACAATTTATACTCTGAAGACTGAGCAAAAGGGAAAAAAGTATATGCACACATGTAGAAATAGGTCAAATGTGGTAAAGTGATGATTCTATATGAAGGATGTAACATATTTCTATAATACCTGAAAATTTTTAAAATATAAAGTTATAGGGTAAAAAGAGAAAGCAGAATTCTATTTTCAAAATGCTCAAAGAACATGTCAACCAACCGCAATGTAGTAACATCATTTGGATTGGATTCTAATTTGAACTGTAAAAAAAAAAAATTGAGACAAAATTTTAGTACTGTTTGGATAATAGATAAGAAATTACTGCCAATTTTTAGTAGTTTTGTTGTTCTGGGTTTATGCCCTAATCTTTTAGCTATACATCATGAAATGTTTACCAATGAAATGATGTAATATCTGGGATTTGTTTCAAAAAAATAAGGAAGGGAATAGGTGGAACAAAACACTGGTCATGAACTGATGGTTGTTGGTGGCTACACTGGAGGTCAGGATACTGTCCTACTTTTGGTATGTTGGAAACTTTACATTCAAAAAGTTAAAAAAAAAAATGTGTTAAATGAATACATTTTCTCCAAATTAAGAACTAATTTCCCTAAAGTTGAAGAACAGCAACCTGTAGTCAATTGAACGTGTGAACTAGCAAGAACACTGACAGCTATAATGTACATTTTCCTACTTTTTTCGGGGTGGGGGGTGGCTAAAATTTGTGTTTGAGGAGGCTGACAGTACTTCTCAAAGCTGAAGAAGTATCAAGGGAAAAACAAAAAAGCCTACTGACTGAATTAAAAAAAAAGGATATGTAGTCTTCATTTAGATTCTTTTCATTGCAAAGAGATGGAATTGGGGAAGTGTGTCAAGGGTAAAGGAAAAGACACTCATTCATCAGGCTAGTGGCTAAGGAATAAAGACAGTATCAACTTAATGTAAAACTCTACTATTCATTCTTTAATGTTCTCTCTAATCCCAAACTGGATGGGTCTTCTTTAAGTGCAAATGATTATATGTGACCCTCTACAAATTTTAACTTCTTTACTAGTTGAAGATTCAAGTTAGAGAAACCAAAACAAAACGTATTTTGCAGGCTCTTACATGAAAAGCAAATACTGTAAGAAGAAAAGGCAGAGTTCTCAGAGAACAGAAAGTTAAATATTAAAGAGATCTCATTACAAAGCAAGAAATTTGAGCAGTTATTGTATAACTGGTCTGCAAGGACTGCACACTGTTTTGTAGAAATGGATTACTGCTACATTAGTTCCAGTCACCAAAAAGATATCCGCTAATGAAAATGCCAAAGCAATAAAGAAAATAGGAAAGCGTTGATCAAAAAGCAAAAGAAAAATTTTCTTTCAAGTAGAATGAGCACTAAGAGGCTACTCAAGTAGTTTATTTAACATCTCCTGTGGCTGGGCGTGTCACTAAAAAAAAAACTTTGATAAGGTAATAGGAAGCAGGTACCTTCTAGTTGGTATCTGATTAGAGGTTATTTAAGTGGGGGAAGGGAAACAAGACTAGTGACGTGGTAAACCAGATGCAAGTGTTTTCTTCTTTCAAGGGCATGTTCTCCTTTAGAACCAAATGTATGTGATACAATTCCTTGTACAGCCCCTTTTCAAGATGTCCAAAGGCTAGGCAAGGTTAAAAAGAAAAGGAATTCTGCTGTATCGTTCCTATGTTAGAATCTCTTATAAATCTAAATAGAAAGTTAAAATATTAACAGAAGATAGTTTTAAATATAACCTGGTAAAGTTAAAATTAAAAAAGACACATGCCTATTTCTACTCTAATGAAAGTATGAAGCAAATTGCAAAGTACACTCTAAGGAAGTTAAATGCAATTGTTCCAAACTGGGGAACAAAGAGCTAAAATTCTTTGGGCTCTCAAAAATTATGAAAATAGCAAAAGCCTGAGTTATTCCACTACAGCCTAGGTCAGAATTTGTTAGGTCTTCTTCAAACCCACTGCTCACCATTAAGTTTCTTAAACATAAAAAAAATGTTCTGATCTGATACACTGACACATACTTGAAAACACTGCCACATGCCAAGAACAAAAATAAATTACTACACCTAGGGGTGGCGCCTGGGTGGCTCAGTTGGTTAAGGGTTAGACTCCTGATTTCATCAGCTCAGGTCTTGATCTCAGGTCTTGATCTCTAAGCCCCACAATGGGCTCTACGCTAGGCATGGAGCTTACATTAAAAAGAAAAAAAAAATCCTACACCTAATTAAATGATTCTCACTACTTTAACCATAAAATTAATTCAGTTTTCGTAACTAAAAAGATGACTTGGGCTTATTAATTACGTGGAGAAACCTTGCAGGTACCACTTTAACCAAGTGATCAGAGTTAGCATCATCAGTAATGAATACAACAAACCAGTATCACAACCTCCTGATGGGATACACTGAGATCACTTTTGTGGTATTCTTGCTGAAACTGCAATAATCTGAATTTAATTATGAGGAAACATGAGACAAACCCAAACTGAGGGACACTACAAAATAAGTGACCTGTACCCTTCAAAAGATGTCAATAAACAAAAGACTAAGGATCTGTTCCAGATTAAAGGAGATGAAGGAGATAGGAGAGCTGAATGCAATGTGTGATGTGATCTCAGAATTTCTTTTGCTAGTAAGGACATAACGCAAACAACTGGCAAAATCTGCACAAGGTCTGTAGCTAAACATTGATATGGACTACAATCTAACTCTTGATTTTTGCTAACTGCACTATGGTTATGAAAGAGAACATCCTTGTTTTTAAGAAATATGCATTGAAAAGTACTTAGTTCCAAGAGGCAACATGTCTGCCACTCTGAAATGGTGCAAAGAAAAATTAGTATATAGCAACAGGAAGAAAAAAGAATAAAGCAGATACAGTAAAATATCAACATTTGGGGATTATGGTGAACGGTATTTACAAATTCTTTGTACTATTATTGCAACTTTAACTCTGAAATGGTCAAAAACCAAAGTTAAAAGAAAAAATAATTAGGAGTATGGAAAGTATAGATTAAAAACATCCCTTAACAAACTTGAGGATGAAAGAAAACAAAACTGCACAGCAATGCAAAGGCTGGGCAATCTCACAGACTCACTCAAGTACTAGCTAACTACCTCTAAAAACTATCATCAGCAAAATTGTCATGGAGTTACTATCAAATTCACGGATGTCAAAAATGCCACAGGTCTATTCTAATAAAACAAGCAACACAATTAACTTTGGAGTAATAATGTAGATAAATTTTCTAACACATAATTTTCCACCTCAAAAATGAAAAAACTTTTTTCTTCCAGCAACATCAAAATAAAATGTAAATGCTCCCTTAATGCTGTTAACATTCAAGGTAGAATTAAACCTAATGAGATTACTGTTGTCTTTCCTGGGTTTTTTGTCCTCCCTATTTCTTTTTCCTTTAAAAAAAAAAAAAAAGATTATTTATTTTAGTGGGGGTGGGGCAGAGGGAGAGGGGGAGAGAAATCCAAGCAGACTCTGCACTGGTCACAGAGCCTGATGAGGTGTTAGATCCCACCACCCCAAGATCACGACTCAAGCAGAAACCAAGAGTTGGACACTCAAACCAACTGTGCCACCCAGGTGCCTCACTCCTCCAAGTACTAATACTCCTACTGGTATAAAGAGAAGTTTAGAACAAACATCTTAGCACACGCAAAAGAACAGAGAGGTCTACTGCCATATGCAATGATTTCTGATCCTACAGAACAACATTGAGATTTATGGAGGAAGCTGAGAAAATAGTGAATATAGAAAGGAAAAATGCTAATAAGTGAAGCTAGTCTTGTTTGCTTTTAAGCAAAATTAAGCAGTAACAAATGTTAAATCTAGAGTGAATTTTAAGAAAAATAGCCAAACCTTCATCTTTTAAGATTTTATTTATTTGACAGAGAGAGAGAGCCAAAGAGCACAAGCAGGGGAAATGGCAGAGGGAGAGGAAGAAGCAGGCTCCCCACTGAGCAGGGAGCCTGATGTGGGGCTCGATCTCAGAACCCTGGGATCATGACCTGAGCCAAAGGCAGACGCTCAACTGACTGAGTCACCCTGGCACCCCTAAATGTTCTTTAAGGACAAAGCAATTCAATTTGAAGTATATATCATACTTATTGATTAGTTCATGTTTGAGCAGATCATTAAGTTCAATGTTACAAAATGATACTTAAAATAGTTAACTGCAGATGGTCTCATCTTCACTTAATATCAGAATAGTCTAGAAAATGTGATCAGAATGGGCTACAATGCAGAGGAGATCTGATGGGACATAAAAAATATCTCAACAAGGACTGACTAAAAAACTTTTTCAAATGACGTTTTCAGAGGCCTTGAGAGACTCAAAGACCCTCAAGATGACTTAACTCACTCATTATTTAAAGCACTGTGACTCTGAGGATCAGGGAGGTTCAGTAACGGGGAACAAAGTGCTAGTAAAAACCTACAACTCCTAGGTCTAAATTTAGTACTCTACATATCGATTCAATAGAATCTGCACAAGTGATCATAAGAAAAGTAGGATTTGCAGATACACTGCAATATTTAATCAAATCTTGCTTGCAACAGTCTGTAATGAAACTTGACACAGAGAAGATTCTAAAGGAAAGCTACTGTGTTCCAAAGACTAATGCAACCGCAGCACCAGTTACTAGTTAACTATTTTTCTGGTAACAGAAAAGAATTCTAATAAACTATTGTTTATTATACCTATTGTATGAGAATCACCAATATCTAGTTTATGTTTAAGGTTTTTTTTGTGCTTTAACTGCTATTTAGCTACTAATTCATCAGATGTCCACTCTGTACCAGGGATAGCTAAGGATTTTACATGTATGAACTCATGTACTCATTTTTGGAGTCTAGAGTAGATGTCTCAAATGACAGGCAATTCTTTTCCGTGGGTTATAGAGACAAAAACCTTTAAGTCTCAACACAAAAGTCAACTCAAATCATATCACAATGTATTTATAAATAAAAGCCCTCTTCTCTCAAAACAAAAAAACAGAACTCCCTAGAACATATTTAAATTTCACAAATAAAGAATTTAAGGCCTAGAAAGGTTAAGTAATTTGTGTAAGATTACAGAGCCAATGGAAAGTGAAGGAGCCAGGACTAAAACTAAAATCTAAGTCAGGCTTCCAAGTCCATGCCGTCAAATTCTAGGCTTTATTCCCTACCTATTTCCAGTATAAAATAAGACATTTAAAAGTTAAAATCTGTGAATCACTAAATTCTACACCTGAAACCAGTATTACACTGTATGTTAACTAACTGGAATTTAAATAAAAACTTGGAAAAATTAAAAATAAAAAAACTGGGGCGTCTTTGTGCTCAGTTAACAGTCTGACTGTTGTGGAGCCTGCTTAAGATTCTCTCTCTCCCTCTCCCTCTGCCCCCCCACCTTGGGCTCACTCTCTCTACAAAAAAATAAATAATGTAAAAATGTTTTAAAAATAAAAATTAAAAATTGAAGTTAGAATCTGTTCACCTCTAATACAAGTGATGTATACAAAGAATATGTTAAAATCTTGTTACATTAAAATTGGAAACTCATTTAACCTTTCTCCATACAGACTTGTTAGAACACATTAGACTATGCTATATAGTAATCCTATACTCTATATTGAGAGTTCTTAAAAATAATATATAATTTTACAGTACTTTAAAACAACCCATCAAACTATTTACTAGAGAATTATGATTAAACTTGCTGATAAGTTGGTCATTCTAATAAAGTCAGAGTAAATGTGAGTCAACACAAATACAATGTCTTCTTGTAATTCGAAGCTGACCTGATCTGCACATCTACATTTTAAAACAGCATGAACTTTGTTCTTTTCCCACTACTTATTTAAACTTTTCCATATGCAATCACTTGCTGATTTTCTCCATAGCTGACACCATGCTTCTTCTACAATATATCACAGGAGAATTTTACTTTTTGTTTTTTCATTTAAATTTTTAAAAAGGTTTTTCCCTAGCTGCTTCTATAATATATCAGAACAAAGCAAGTCTCTTCTTTACTGAATTTCAAAGGGCATTTATGTCTTTCCATAGCCAGGATTTCAATATTTATCTTATGAAAGTGCCTTTAAACATTATTTTGTGCTTGTGACCACGAAGTATGGAATACCTGGACTGAAGTAATAATAGAAGTGAACAAAATATTTTCAAAGTACTTTTCCCAATATAAACCAGATAAGGGAGAATGATTAAAGTTCAGCAAGCAAGGGCTGTTAACTAATTTTGTACTTTAAACAGCTCTTGCTACAGCAGCTCTCAAATGACAGTGATTCTCACTGTGATATATAGTTTAGTTTCCTAATTTGTCTAAATTAATTCCTAAAACTTCTAATTCCCACTAGTATAATCTAAAAATTCAAGTCTTACCTGTCAGAATTGTCTGAAAAGCAGCTTCTACATTTGTAGAGTCTAGAGCAGAAGTCTCAATGAATGACAAACCATTCTTTTCTGGGGGTGGGGGGGGGAAGGAGATAAAAACTTCAGTCTAGTCAACAAGGGATGTAATACATTCAAGCCTTCAAAAGGAAAACAAAAAACTTTCTAAAAATTAAAGCCTCCCCAACTTCTTGAGCAGTAAGGACACCATTCTACTTACACTTTAGCAGATTAAAAAGAACAGTGAGAAATTTTCATTGGCTCCTTAATTAAAAAATACTTATTACATCTATATACTACCAATGAATGGCAATGAACGACATTACTCAAAACATAGTAAACTTATCAAATATTCAGTTATTTCCATCCACTACCGTCCTTCTCCCCCATCAACCCACAGAGTTAAGGTATAAACATGGATAGGTAGGTGTTATTCACTTAGAATTCTATAACTGTATTTTCTGAAATAAAGCTTCTTGCCTGGAACACTAAAAAACTATTATAAAAACCTTTATTCACAGCATAATCACTAGTACAGAGTCACAACTTTCATTAGCCAAGAATACACAATGCTGCCTTCTGGTAGGCTACCCCAACCAGAACAGAAGAGATAGGCAGATCCTCTACTAAAGCAAAAAAGTTCTAAATCCTAAGCAGCCGCATTCCCTGTGGGTTGTTGACATTCCCTGGGCCACTGCTTTTCAGACCCACAAAGAGCAGCCTTGGTAAAACACAGACATAACAGAAAGAGACAAGAAGCACAGAATAAACTGACAGATGTCATCTACCCCCTTCCAGGGAAGGAAAGATAATGGGATTTATATTCAACTTTTGGCAGCAAAAACTACAGTGTTTTAATGACTCAAAGTTAAGCAAAAGAGAAAGTCACCACAAACTTTCAGAATAACAATCCTTGCTGAGCATTCATGTTTACCTTTCTGAAACTACTAAAAGCGATTACAGTCATTGGGAAAGTATCAAAACTGCATGACATAAGAGTAAGAATCACTGTAATATCATGAAATTCATATCACTAACCTGCAAAAGCTCTTGCTTCATCTGTAGGAACTGCCCTGAGATGACGCAAATCACTCTTATTGCCCACAAGCATGATAACAATGTTACTATCAGCGTGATCTCTCAGTTCTTTCAGCCATCGTTCTACATTTTCATATGTGAGATGTTTAGCAATGTCATACACCAATAAGGCACCTACAGCTCCACGATAGTATCTGAAAACAGAAACAGGTATGTAACTATTAGAAAACAACCATAAGATGGAAGGGAACACCAGGAAGAACTAAATATATGGATTATGTATGTTTAAAAGCACATTTATAAATACATTTCAAAATCCTGATACTGGAATTCTTACAAGGAAAAAAAAAGTACCTTTTCCAATACCAAAAATCAGCTAATTCAGTTGATGACAGTGTATTTCTCAGAACTTTAAGACTATGAGACTTACGCTGATGTTATAGCTCGGTATCGCTCCTGCCCTGCCGTGTCCCATATCTGTGCCTTTATTGTTTTCCCATCAACCTGGATGCTTCTGGTTGCAAACTCTACTCCAATGGTGCTCTTACTTTCAAGATTAAACTCATTTCGAGTAAATCGAGATAAGAGATTACTCTTTCCAACACCAGAATCTCCAATAAGGACAACTGAAAAAAAGACAAAGCACTTAATGTCAGATGAGTGAGGCAGACACGTTCAGAATTACCACCATGTTTTAAAGCAAAAAAAGAGCATCTGATTTTTTAAAAGGGATAGGGGTAGGGGAGGGTGAAGAGCCCATGTTCTTAACCTGTTACCAATTGATAAAACCAATTTATTCTTTTTAAACTGTGTCTACCTACATAATAACTTCCACACATCATCTGCTTAGCACAAATACAGTATCCTGTCTTACACATGCAATTTTAACTACAGGTCTGCTAGGCACTGATTAATTACCATCAATGCTGTACCAACCTTACTACCATAGAAGGTAATAACATGAAAGATAAATCCTACACCAAATAAACAATTTGTGATTAAAGAGTATCATACATGAAAGTAATAAAGGAAGTTAGTGAGTAGAAACGAGAGAAAGAGTGAAAATGTTCTACTTAGTTTCATCAAAGACTGGGTGTGACCTCAGGACTCACACCTTGGCAAAATTAAACATAACATTTACCCTACGAGGCATCAGGTTTAAAACTTTGCCACCCAGATCACAGAAACTAGAATGACCTTTTCATAGTTGCATTTATCAGATGGGCAGGAAGCTATAGAGACCCCTACAAAAACAGACATCCCAATTAAGTTTAACAGGGGCCCCAGGAAGCTAATAATTCTTGACTTACTCTGAGTAAAGGCCAAAGCAAGGAGGGCACATTACTTAATCTTATGACTTAAGAATTTTTAAAAAACAAGTTTGGTTTAGATGAATTTATTTCCTGTGATTACTATAGGAGGCAGTTTATTACTAACTAAATACATGAGGATTTTTTTTCACGCAAGGCTATGTTATACTTAAGAATTTCATAAACATTGGGAAAATAGGCAGTTAACTTGTTCTAAAGCATTTCTATCTGAATTTAAAGAACAAATGAGTTCACAGGTTTAGAGAACATGAGCTAAAAAATTTTACGAAGGAAAAAAAATGCTATCAGCATTTCAGGAAATATACTTATTTCTACTGTTGACTACTGTTTTTCTTACTAGCTAACTGATTTAGGCACCAGGACTAGAAAATCAAACATGTGAGAACACCACTAAGGAGTAAGACCATGCCTTATTAAAGAGACTGGGATTTGGTGGTAGGGGGAGAGGGAGGTAAAAACTCTTAAGAGCTCATCGCACTCTGGTCAGAGGGCAAAGAGAGTCTATTATGCATTCCTTCCTTGCCACAAGAACGGATATAAGCTGGCCTCTGGACAGTCTTGGATGGAGTACATTACCCTATTAGCTGATTCAGCAAGAAATCATCTAGGTGGCAGTAACTCCATGCAGCACAAACAGCAGTTATTTCTAGCTATATAGTCAATTAGAGATGTCAAAGGTATTGTGACAAACACAGATATACAGCAAATGCTTTAACTTGGATACCAGAAAAGATGATAAGGTCATCAAAGTAACATACAAAAACAATGCACTTCCAGTTTTATAGGATGGTTGGTTATGTTAGTTTCCAAGGAGCACATTTCTGGCAGTGAGGTCAAATCCCAGTTTCAGTGATAGTCTACCCTATTAATAGGATACACACACTGTTGCCTCTTAGTGCAAGAGGCCTGATGTTCTGCTGAGGAAACCCTTTGAGAATCATTTCTAAACCCACACTAGCAATGAGGTATAAAAGCCTCACTTGGAGGGGGGGGAATAGGGAAGAAGAGAAAAACCAAAAAGTTAAAACATGTCTACTTCATACACAGTCAGATATCAATCAGTAATTCAGGAGCCGGTCAGTTTAAAACCAAAAAGCAACACATCTAGAATGACAATGCCTCTGGAAAATTAAGTAACACACTCAAAGAACATCTTCTCCCTCCCACAGAAACTCTAGCACTTTCAAGTTTTGGTTTTTCCCTTTTGACCTCCATGTTAACTAATGATTATGCTCATTATCTCCCCACCGCAGCATAAAGATAGTGAAGGCATTTTTTCCCTCCATGTAACCAATTAATTTTAACATTATAAAAAATAGCACCCTTATCTGAAAATAATTCAAGACTCATGAATGCTTTATACAGTATAAAATAATTATGTCAACTAGACATGGACAGAGTGGCCAGAATTAAAAGACTAACATCTTGTTAAAGGATTAGATCTTGAATGACACCAGAAGATACTGGTTCTGTAAGAATTGTGCTGCCAAGAAGATGCTGAGAAATGACACAATAAGGAAAGCTGGTTCTATTCAGTTACCAAATGAGAAATCAAACCAAGATGAGTTACATTTAAGGTCACTAAAAAATAAACCAGAATGGATTAAATTACCTAAGCAACATAAGAGAATTTACTGGCTATGACTGAAAAACTAAACAACAACAACAAAAAGTTCATGGACTCAATTTCTAATTAAAATAGTTTCTCTCATTAAGATGACAATATATAATTGATCTTTAAAAATGTGATAAACTATATGATCATATCCTATATTTCAAGAAAGGAATTTGCAGTGACTTTCCAATGTTTTTCTTAACTACTACCTTAGGTTAAAAGTACTTCCCACTTTAAACATTTTATAACTATATCCATCTATATAGTATATGGGGGGAGTATGTATAATAATATAAACATAAATAACAGCATCTATATATCAAACATCTATATTATTTCTAAAATAACCTAATGATATTTATTACCACCTGGTTAACCTCACCTGCTGAATTTTAACTACCATTCTAATACCTAATATTAAATTTGGTTCATTATATATCAAATATTAGGCTAAATGCCATAAAAGCAGAATATACATATAAATTATCCATTATTTAATAAGAAGTTCCACCTCTTCACAACCATTTAGTTTTATACACTCTCTTGCAAACTAATGTACTGGACTAAAATTTAATTCAACAAATCAATCACAGTACATCAGATCTAAAAGTTATCAAGTGAAAGGATAACTGATAATTTTCATATTGATTTTTATAAATAAACTTGGGAGATTCTTCTACTCTTTTCAGCTATATTCATAGTCCTACCTCACCAAAAGTCTTGAAAATAAAATGCATTCAATAAGTCAATAAGGCTTTTAGCCTGGACAAGTTTTTCCAGATTCAGCAGAATGTGAGTTGCTCAACCGAAAGTTGTGAAAGAAAAACTACCAAGATGCAAGACAGCAAAGTTCCTAAGATCTTTTCCATTGACAATCAGCTGATGGTTAATTACTACTGACCTTCAGATAGATTGAAAAGAAAATGAAGTAGACTATGTATCCAGATTATTTTCAAAAAATGTGACTCTGAATTGGCGTCCATAACACCAATAGCAACTATGACTGATGCTTACTTCACTTATGTGTCCCACAGGGCCATAACCACATTGTATATACATTAATTGTAGAATTAAATAAAGCTTTTAAATAAAAAGTCAAGTTTAGGGGCGCCTGGGTGGCTGAGTCGTTAAGCGTCTGCCTTCGGCTCAGGTCATGATCCCAGGGTCCTGGGATGGAGCCCCGCATCGGGTTCCCTGCTCTGTGGGAAGCCTGCTTCTCCCTCTCCCACTCCCCCTGCTTGTGTTCCTGCTCGTGCTCTCTCTCTCTCGTTTCAAATAAATAAATAAAATCTTAAAAAAATAATAAAATAAAAATAGTCAAGTTTAAAAAAATAACCTCCCCACCCTGCAACCAAAAGTCTCCTGCTGAAATTAACTAAAGATTAGTGTTCAAGAACAAATACATAACGTAGAGTAACTGTCCTGCTCTCTTCCCACATTACATTCCCATCTGGACCGCTCCATCCTATACTAATGAAAATATCCCTTCATTTTGAACTGTTAAAGAGTTACAAACTAACTTCCAATTCCCTCACGTATTAAGTGTGCCAAGTAAGCAATCTTACAAGTAGAAAGGTCTACCTCATCTCGGTGAATAAACCTCTGTAGAATGAAACCACTTTAAAATTGTTGCTTTGCTTTAAAATATAATTGTATAAATAAGAAATTGGCTAAACAATCAGCAGTAAAGTAAAAAAAAAAAAAAGTGACTCATATCCTGTTAGAGCTTTTTAAAAAGTGGAAATTCTTCTCAGCAGAATTTTTTAAACACCCTATCTTGAACAGCAAAATGTACAACAAAATGAAACCATAACCCATGGAAACATAAAACACTTTAATAAAAAGTTCCTACTTTTAAGTTTCTTTTGTAATATTTAAATGCTCTTATAAAGATTAAAGGTTCAAAAAGCTGACAAGAACCACAGTAACTTTCTTCATATTATTATCACTTACTCAATCCTCAAAACGAGTCCCATTTTTTTTTTTTTTTTTTTTTTTAATTTGACAGAGACACAGCGAGAGAGGGAACACAAGCAGGGGGAGTGGGAGAGGGCGAAGCAGGCTTCCCGCTGAGCCGAAAGCCCGATGCGGGGCTCGATTCCAGGACCCTGGGATCATGACCTGAGCCGAAGGCAGACGCTCAACGACTGAGCTACCCAGGCGCCCCAGAGTCTCACTTAATTCTGGTTAAGAGTTCTGAGAGATAGGTATTATTTCCCTTTTACAGACAAGGAATTGGGAGGCTCAGAGGTCACAAAGCAAGTTTTAAGACCTTGAGTCAGAATTTGAATGCAGGCCTGTGATTCCAAAGCCCTGTGCTCTCAATCATTGTTAGCAGGATGTTCTAATCCCAAAGTTAAAATCCCTTAAACCAATCCAGGATAATTAATATTCTTAGTGAAAAAAATAAATGGTTTCTATAAACAGTCAAGCTCCAAACCAAACAGGAGAAATACTCTTCAGTTGTTTGTCTATCTTTGTTCTAAATTAATCACTTCAAAGGTAGCTAGCTGCCTAATGCCTTGTACCTTATTTTAAAAAATAAATCTTTTAATGACTAAACACTAGTCTCTAGGGTCTCACCTAATTAATTTCACATGATCTCAGATGCCTTCGGCAAACAGTATGCTAACGAACCCACATCTCCTTTTTGTATTTATAAAAATGCATTAAGTACTCTTCTCTGTAAATGATTTTCCACTATAGGGGAGTGAGGGTGAACACTGAATGTACTCACCCTATGTAACAGAATATTCTGGCCAAGAGGAGTGAGGTGATGATAAGATTTGCAAAGTATTGGTAAAGCAATGTTTCCTGCTTCCTTTAAGTCAATCATTCTTAGCACCCAATGACAAGGTCAGAAACAATCACCATGCTTAACACTCTTTTTAAACTCCACCCTCCACTGTAAAGCTTTAATAGCAATGGCTTCTTCCTCCCTGGTAATGATCTTTGTTAAGCATACTACTGATGGCTGCCCTAATTCAGGAGCTGAGAAAGAGCATTTGAGTAACAGCGCATTCACTTAACAAAAAAAAAAAAGCATTTACCGTACTCTTTCCCATTGAAAACTGTACCCCTTATTTTTGTTGATTAAAAAAAACAACAACTATTGGGATTCTTTCCCGACTAACCAATAGGCAATTCTTTCTATTCCCCACCCTCCAATATGTTTTGTACAAGGGCACTACATGTTTCCCTATCTCATAATACATATTAAATTTCACCAAAGAGCACACAACTTCCCCCTAGCCCCCACCTTTTGGGAAAGGTATGTGGCTAACTAGGACTCTTCCCTTCCTGTTCTAAAAACACCAAAAGGCTGGATCCTCCCACTGTTGCAGCAGGAAGCAACCAGTCCATAGTGATAAAGCAGGCTAGTATTTGTGCAGCGCACAACCTTTCCTGCTCAGGAACTGGGCCTTCAGGTCTGGCAAGGATAACAGCCACCACCCATCCGCAACCTCTTGTCGCTAGCAGTCTAGAGTTATCCCGGCTGGCTGTCGCTCGGTAGGGAGGGTAGGAGGAAAAAAGCCTAGATTAGAAGTCACAACAGTCTGCCGGGTCACTGCGACAAGTGCGCGCGTGGGTGATGGACAATCCCTCTTGCCTTACACCCCCCACCCTCGGGGTCGCACAGGAGACACGGGAAAGCTCTAAATTATTTGGGGAGGAAAGACAGGGAAAGAGCTACCAATCCCGGGGGCAGTGCGAGAAGGTTATTGACCACGAGACCTGTTGGGCGGGTGGGGTGGGGACCCCTGGCCCGCTCAGATTTTAACCAGGGCCTGGCCCAGGGAATGGAAGAAGACGGCTCGAGAGGCGTCCGTCCGAGGGGAGGGGCCGTGAGGAGACGCAGAGAGGCTCGCTCGAGGGGCAAAGGCGGGCAGATGAGAAAAAGACCTGTAGTGGGAGTGTGCGCCGAAGGAAAGGTGAGCGAGGGGAAGGGCCGGTCAGAGGGGCTCTGGAAGGGGGGCGAGCCAAGAAGGGTGTATACTGAGGAGGAGGGGCGCCAAACCCGAAAAGATAGATGGTGGGAGGGGCGGCCCCTTTCAAGGGGCCATCGAACCCGGGAAACGAAGACGATTTGGGAGAAAGCAGCCGCCGTGAGAAGGACACAGGGTTAGGGGCGCTGAGGATAGCGAAGGCCTATGGGGAGGTCGCTAAGAGCCCGGCGTGTGGGGAGGACTCCCCGTCTGAGGGGAGAAGGGCTAAGCTGGGAGACCGCAGGACAGATCGCCCAGACAGGAAAGGGCTGAGGAAGGCCGACTTCAGTGCAGGGGCAGTCCGCACGCGGGTCCCCCGGGAGTGTCCCGGGCCCCCGAACCGGGACTCGGTGAGGAAAGTGGGAGAGCCCACGGCCTCACCTTTGAAGAGATAGTCGTACTCGTCGTCGCGGGTGCCCATTGCGCGGCCAAGGAGCGAAGGGGCGGGAGCAGCAGTGGTATCGGTGGGACCAGGGGGCGTCGCTGCAGGGGTAACCCGAGAGCCGAGCTTCAGCTGGCCGACCGGGTAAAGAACCCCTCCCTGCCCCTACGACACTTCCGGCAAGCCCCAGCCCCTAAGGGGAAGTACTTCCGGGAGGCGGCGCTCCGCCCCTGAGCTTAGGGAGGGCGGTGCGCGGAAGCGTCGTGTCCGTCTTCAAATTCTGCCCCGCTCCAAGAAGCTTAGCGGGGAAACTGAGCTCTGGACTCCAGGCTCTTAGCCGCCGCGTGCCACCCTCTCAATGGCCTCTCGCTCATTCCTCGCGCCGATGTGCGGGGAAGTGGGATGCTGGGAAGCGCGTCAGTCCCGCCTGTGAGTGGTGCGTTTGTGGATGGGGGCGGGGTTCTCTAAGAATTAGAGAGCCGAAGGCGGTTGTGCCCTTGTGGCGGTTCCATGGTGTAATGGTTAGCACTCTGGACTCTGAATCCAGCGATCCGAGTTCAAATCTCGGTGGAACCTGTGTCGTCTTGTTTTTTTTCCTCAACAGATTTTTAATTCATTTACTTAGTCACTAAGTGATTGTAGTACAACTACGGTATATATGGCCTTGAGCGAAATGGGGACAGAATTTCTCAAAACATAGTCTTTGCCTACGAAGACCTTTCGGTTTTGTAGTCACTGTCACCTGGCTGTCTCCTAAGAGACTCACTTCGCCCTTTTTTTTTTTTTAACCTGGGCCTCTGCCTCAACGCTAGCTTCAAAAGCTTCGATGTAACTTGATTCCTTTTGCTAAAATTTTCAACCTCCAAATTCATTCAAGGGCAGGCGCTTTTCGCTCCTTTTCTCTGGAAATCTCTCAAACTATCTCCAGATGTCATTCAGAGAACTTCGCCCACCCTCCTCATCAAGATTCATCAAGAACTTCTTGAGCCTTATTTGTCATCCTCTAAACTAAACCCGTTTACATAATTATTTCATTTAACAAGCAGAGCAAAGAATGCCAATTTTCATTTTAGCGGACATGTGGATACTAAGACACAAGTGACTTGCCAAAGATCACGCAGCAGGGCCTCCCTGATTTGAAAAGCGTTCTTTTATTACAAAATGTTTTTACCATTTGCTGCCATACCCCCTACCACCTATATGCAAACCCCCCAGTTTAGACTTTTGGGCAAGGGTGCCTGTGGTGAGCAGGATAATGACTCCCTGAAGATGTCCACTTCCCAATGCCTGGGAACTGTGAATATGTTAAATTAAGTGGCAAAGGGGAATTAAGGTTACAGATGGAATTAAAGTTTTAAATCAACTGACTGTAAAATAGGGAGATAACCTAGATTCTCCAGGTGAGCCTAATTTGTCACAGGGATCCTTAAACGTGGAAACCGGAGGCAGTGATGTGGTGCGAGAAGAGCTCCACTTAGCCGTTGTGGCTTTGCAGATGGAGGAAGGGGGCCAGGAGCCTAGAGATGCAGAGGCTTCTAGAAGACAAGAAAAGGCAAGGAAATGGATTCTTCCCTATGGCCCCCAGAAGGAATACAGCCCTGCAGACATCTTGATCTTAGCTCCGTGAGACCACCATGCAGAATTCTGACCTAGAGAACTATAAACTAATAAATTTGTGTTTTAAGTCACCAAGTTTGTGGTAATTTGTTAAAACCGCATTAGGAAACTAATAGTGCCATTTTCAGTGTTTTCTGTGATGGTATAAGTAATAGACGGTTTATCTAAGGCCTAGATACTGCCTTGTGCCAAGGTATTATCCACATTGGGGGAGACGCACAGTATTCTCAAGCAGCTAAACACTGTATGTATGACAGATGATAAGACACAGTCCTAGCTCTCCTCAGGTGAGTAAACAAATGGGCCCAGGAAAAGGGGGATATCACTAACTAGAGAGTTCTGAAGTTGTAATTAATGAGAGCTCTGGTGCTAGGTGTCACAGTTCAGAGAGACTGAGATAATTAGGAAGAACTCCCTGGAGAAGGAGGAACTAGCACTGACCCCTGAAGGAAGAAGCAAGGAAGGAAACTCATTTTGACAGATGGAGGAAATCCGATGATAAAAAAACATGTTCAGTAAGGCCATTAATGCCAGAAGAGTTATTATGAACTTTTCCCCTTTAAGCCATTGTTTCTCAAGGTGTGTCCTGAGAAAGTCAATAGTATTACTCAGAAGAATTGCATGGCCAAATAAATTGAGAAGAATTACAGTCTCCTCCGCTCTAGAAGTTTCCTTAGCACATTGGCATTTTAAAGTCTAGATATTTCACTCTGAAGAAATCTTTTTTTAACTGTGTTAATCACAGCATTTCCCAGATTCACCAGACCACAGAACTCTTTTCCCATGGAACACCTGTTAGCATCCCTCTGAACTCTTTGGGGGATCCATAAAAGATTTTGGACAGAAGGATGTTGAAGTCAACATGGTCTTAGAACAAGTAAGTTGGCTGTGGACTGCAGGACTGGGGTAAAGAAAGCCTGGAAGTGTGAGTATCCGTTAAAAGGCTTTTGCAATTAACCAGGTACAAACTAATAGAAATGGAGTACCCTGTGGGAATAAAGGAGAAAGAAAAATCAAAGGCTATTACAGAAAAAAAAAAATGGTAAATGGAATCCATGGACAAAGAAGTGAGGGTTTTATGTTCTTGTTTTTTTTTGGAGGAGGGGTAGTAATTGCTTGATGTGTCTTTTTTAATCTTTCAAGAAATATAGGAATTTATGTAAATGACTTAAATAATACAGAAATATAGACTAAATCTTTTTTTTTTAAGGATTCTATTTTTAAGTAATCTCTATACCTAACCTGGGGCTCAAATTTACAACCCCAGAATCAAGAGTCACATGCTCTGCCAACTGAGCCAGCCAGGCACCCCTCAAAATAGGGAGTAAATCTTTAAGGGCCTCCTCCACTTCAATTTCTCCTCCAACCCCAGAGATAACTGCTACATTTTCTTTTAATGTATAGAAGATCAGGTTTGTGTACTGTTTTTCATTTTAGAAAAAATCTTTCCACATCAGTCCATAGAGTTTTAATTAATTTGCTACAGTTTTTCTTAGCAAGAATATACTATAGTTGGTAACCATTCCCCTTCTCTTAACCCGGGATATGGCAAATACTGAAGGTTCACTAAATTAAAACCTATTCCTAAGCCATTTCTTCCTTGCCCACTTGCCCTAGAAGCTGGAAAGCCAAATATTCACTTTCCCAGCTACTCTGCAATATTTTATATACTACTATTTGAGTATCTCAAATATTGAGAGAGAGAGAGAGAGAATGCACAGGGAGAGTGAGAAGGAGAAGTAGACTCCCTGTTGAGCAGAGAGCCCGACAAGGGGCTCGATCCCAGACCCCTGAAATCGTGACCCAAGCCACTCAGGCACCCCTGATTTTTAATGTTATTGATGCTTTTTTCCATATGTTAGTTTTAAATTTTTATTTAATCAAATCTCTCTCATTTTTTTATGGCTTCTGGGTGTTGCATAAGAAGGCTTCTCCACACCAAGATTATTCAAATATTTTTTCTTCAAATGCTTTATAACTTTTTTCTCCATCCAGATTTTATTTATATTGAGGATGATGTGACATAGGGACCTAAATTAATTCTTTCCAAAAGGATAGCCAGTTGTTTCAACATTATTTGAACTGTCCATCTTTTCTCACTGATTTGAACTGCCTAATTTATTATAAATGAGTTTCACATATATAGATGAGTCTGTTCTTGAGTCTTCACACCATACCTCTGGCAGCTACAGAGGAACACTGCTCACATGGCCCTTCAAGAGAGAGCCTGTTTTGAGAAGTGTAGTTGGCTGAGTCTCCAGCTGCCACACCTCCAAGATCTACTACAATGTTCACACTGAAACCATGATTCTTCTGGACTGTTTCAATGACTGAGCGTGATGAAGGTACTAGAGTTGGGCCAGTTCTATCTAAAATGAGACTCTTCTTGGGGCACCTGGGTGGCTCGGTTGGGGATCTGCCTTCAGCTCTGGTCGTCGTGGTCCAGGGTCCTGGGATTGGGCCCCAAGTCGGGTTCCCTCTTCATTGGGGAGCCAGCTTCTCCCTCTCTCTTTGCCCCTCCCCCTGCTCGTGCTCTCTTTCTCAGATAAATAAATAAAACCTTTAAAAAATAAAATAAAATGAGACTCTTCTAATGGGCAGGCTTTGGAGCTCTCCATTGGCCTGGCTGAGATTTTCTTAGAATTGCACTACAGTCTGGGGTGCCTGGGTGGCTCAGTCAGTTAAGCATCTGACTCTTGATTTCAGCTCAGGTCAGTGATCTAGCCCCACGGGTTCTGTGTTCAGTGGGGAGGCTGCTTGCAGTGCTCTTCCTCTGTCCCTCCGCACCTCGTGCACACTCTCTCTCTCTCTCAAATAAATAAATAAATCTTAAAAAAAAAAAAAAAGAATTGCATTACAGTCTGAGGCTCTTCTTACCCAATCCTCCTTTTTTCCCTCTCTCCTTGCATAGGTATTAGACCTAAATTGTGGTCTGAAGACTCTCCTTCTTCCTATTGTTCTTCACAGGCATTTCTCCCAAATGAATCTCTTACACTTCTAATTCCAGAGGACCTGACCCTGATACAATACCATTAATCAAGTTTTCTATTTTTATGCCAATATCACACTGCTTTATGCTTTATTATAGCTTTATAATCTATTTGATGTCTCATATATGGTACTAAATAAGTAAATATTTGTATAGTGCTTAGAATAGTGCCTGACATAAGAACCACATGTGTTTGATAAACAAAAATAAATATAGCAATTCCTTCTCACTGTTTTGTTTTGTTTTTTTTTTTTTTCTAAACTTTGACTCTTTTTAGGGACTTTCTTTTTCAGATGAACCTTAAATTTCTTAAGTTCCAAAAAGATTCATATTGGGGTTTTGATTAGGATTTCATTACTAATCATTAAAAATATTTTTTTAGAAATGAAATGCAGAGTTTGGACAAGATGTACAAAAATATGAGATTCTGCTTATGAAAATACAAAAAAAGAGTCAAAGAGATCAGAGGTTTAATATCTATTTGGAATAATGATTAATAGAAGAAGGGAAGGGGCGCCTGGGTGGCTCAGTCAGCTGAGCATCCGACTCTTGATT